ACACAATCTGGATGATTGAAAAAATATGTGGAGCGGAGCCGAATGCTTCCACAGTATAGTCCTCTTTTCTTCCCCTTTGCCAGCTCAGCGTGACTAAAGCTAAACCCAGAAACTTTCAGACATTCACGACTGAAAAATTTTAAGCAATCATAATCTTAAAATGATGTGCTGCTCTGAGGTTCTGGCTGAAGGTTTCGGGATTTGAAGATGAATCGGAATTCGCGACAGCGTTTCCGTCTGACTGTTTAGTTTCCCTTAGAAGCTGCAGAAACGGATGTGTTGAGAAGCTAATGAGGAACAAACCCTTCCAGGTGCTTTGATATTCCAGGGATCCTCGAATTCAACCCGAGTTGTTAAATTGATGTTCTTCACACTTGCCTTTGCAGTACTAACGGATAATTCCAAATGCCAACAAAGCACGAACGTAGTTGTGTGGATTAAGACTGATCGGTCCTCCTTGATGAACCTTCCCACATTTACTGAGGTTGACCCTGAGCTTTGGGAATGTTCATATTCAAAGATATCTGAAGCTGATGCCCAAAGCTTCTCCCTTCAGGATGGTCATGTTCATTGATAAAGACTCACTCGCTACACTTGACAGCAATTACGTGGAGAGCGCTTTGAGACCTTTTGACATTGCAGGCGTTAAATCCACTGCTAGGATTATTACTGTTAGAAATATATCATTTGCTACAACACTGGGCTTGTCTCTCTGTGTGAACGTTGGTAGCCTGAGCTTTTAGCTACTCTCTCCTTTTTCTGCAACTCTCCCAAAATCCCTTTGTTTAGCATTTCTCTCCTTGCCATCACAGTCTTCTCTTTGGCCACGTGCTAGATAATAATATTAACAATAATAATAATCCTTGCATTTGCTATAGCGCTTTTCACGTCTTCTAGACGTCTCAAAGCGCTTCACAGAATATGCTGTAAAATGAATTGACTGTATATTTGTGGGCGAAATCTATATCTGATGACAAGATTCTGCATCTCGTAAACCCCTCCCTGTGTGAGAGGAGGTTTTCTAACTACCTTTGGCTTTAATTTTAAACTAGAAAAAAAAATCAAGCTTCAAACGGTTCCTTTTATGATGCTCTTCATTACCTCAAAATTGCTCCCAGCAGGACTTCCATCAGTGATGGGTTTGTAACCTCCTGTACTCAATCTCAGTGTAATGTGGTTCAAAGGACTCCCTCCTGACTTGTGCTAAACTTGGAAGAGGAATCCGTATTCATGTTGGCGATTGGCTATTTCTCCTCCGTGCAGTGGACGGAGAATGAGGAGTTTTCGCCCCTTCAAACACTCGTCTTCGAGAGGCCTAGAAAGCGCTTCACAGAATATCCTGTAATGTGTAGTGACTGTATATTCTGTGGGCGAAATGCGGCAGCCAATTGCGCACAGCGGCGTCCCACACACAGTCGTGGATTGAGTGATCAAATTATTATTTTTTCTATCCATACTGAAACCTTACCATCTGGGCTCATCTTCCTGTATCTAGAAACTACTGACCATTTGGGCTCACACCTGTGGTGGGTGCAGTGGTTGAGGCTGTTGGACAGAATGTTATCAACTCTCATCTAAAGAGCACGGAGGAGACACTGCAGATTTAGAAGCAATAGATCACACCTGACAAATCTCCTGTAATTGTCTGAGAAAGCAGCTGAAAAAAGAAACCCGTCGAAAATCATTCGCTTGGGTTTTCAGCAGGAGTTTGATAATGTTTACTGACGAGTGTTTTGGAGAAGGTTAAAGCTCGTGGAATTAATGGAGGTCGGCTTGGCTGGCTGTCTGGCTGGCTGGCTGGCTGGCTGGCTGGACTGAGGAGCGACTTGGCAATTAAGGATGGAAGGTGTTGATGAATGGCAGTAACTCTCCAAGGCTTTGTTCTAGTTGCTTGCTGTTCATCACGTTCATCAATCACTTTGAGAACGGAGCTTGTCATTTTTGTTCATACTTTCTGATGATGCGAGCGTAAGAATGATCAATAGCAATCGAGAAGATTTAGACTGGGTACAGAGGGAAGGGGAAGAGTAGCAGATGGATTTTAATTTAGATAAATGGAAATTAACGCACATTGCGGCAAGAAACACAAACCGTGCGGATAACTTACACTTCTACAGAGTGAACGTGAAGGGTCATTTGTTAGCGCACTTGCCTCCATGTTAGACGGTTTAATAATAATAATCCTTGCATTTAATTTAGCGCCTTATTACATTTGTGGGTTCAAGCCCCACTTCTGGATTTTGAATTAAAGGTCCAGGCTGGCACTCCAGTGCAGTGCTGGGGGGTGATGTATTGGAGGTGCTGGGCTTCCGACGACAGGTTAAACCGAGGTCCCATCCTGTCCACAGGTGGATGTGAACAGAATTCGAGACACTATTGGAAAAGAGCTGTAAGTTTCTCTTCTTGGTCTTCAGTAATCCTCCAGGAAAAAAAATGGTTATTTGCCCCAAGGCTGTACGTGGGACCTCGTTGTGCGCATCATGCCAACAAAATACAGTCATTACAGTCGATAATAATTATGGGGAAAATCCTTTGGGATATTTCAACACGAAGCTACAAAGGTGCTGTAGAGAAGCAAGTTCTTCCTTTCAAATCATTATGATTACTGCCTAGAGTTTGTGAAGGGATTGGAGAGCTTTGGCTCTGATGGATTTTGTATTGTTATGTTGTGCGCTGTTGCCTTTTTTTTTGTTTGTTTTGATTTTAATGAGCCACATGAAGCATCTCAAGAAGTGGCCTGTCTTCAGCTTCTATTCCAATTAGGTTGAATATTTATAACCTTATAAACACTGAAATATTGTGATGTGCTGAGCCAGGTTTATCAGAACTACATTGCTGAAGGGGGAATGTGGATGAAACGCGATGGAGTTGAGGCTGTTAAGCTGTCGGAATTATTAATTGATGTCGGTGACGGTTTAATGCAAAAGGAAGAAGTCAGCCTGTGTGGGGTGGGCTGAAATCCCTCGTACGATCCTAAATGACAAAACTCATATTGTGCCCTTCATGTTGGATGAAAATTTCAGGGTACTCACAAAGATGGTAAGGACAGGCAATTTAAGGTTGTTGACCGAAGGCACGGTCAAAACGAAAAGATTTTGAAGGGTTTTGAGGTCGTCGAGAGAAGGAGTGAGGGCGTTCCAGAGGGCAAGGAATTAGTAATTAAATGTTTCACCACTGATTGATATAAATGTGCTGTAGAATGTATTGCATCATTCTTCACTCCGTCTATCCCAACATTGGTAGCCCAGCCTTCAGTGACAATGTCCCTGCTCTTTGGAACTTTCTCCAAAAAATCCCTTTGCCTTGAAGCTTCTGTCCACCCTTCCAAAACCTTGAAAACTCAAGTATTTTCATGACGGCTCTTAACGGCCGACACCCTGCACTTCTCCACTGGCTTCATCTCTTTCATGTATCTCAGAGGCTAAGACCGCGAGGCATCTCGAGCCTCTGCTGGTCAAGGCAGAAGCAGGTGAACTGGAGCAGTCATTTTATACTGTGTTGTATATTAGATGCAGGTTGACGAGAGTCAAGGCTTGGGGACACACAGTGTGCGTTGGGGGTAAGTGCTGGAATTTAACCAGCTCAATCGGCATAGCTTGACATTGGAAGCACTGTTTGGCAAGTTTTCTGCTGCTTATCCAGCTAGGACCACTGTTAGTGTGTTGGCTTGCCATGTGAACAGGAGTGGAGTGGGAAGAATCATTGATTTGTTGCAGGCATGAGTTAACAACAACAATAAATGACATTTACACAGCGCCTTTCACGTCGGGAGGACATCCCAAGGCCCTGGACAGTCGGGAATCTGGACCCAAGCAGGTGGTTGGGGTCAGGAGGGGTGGAGGCCCGGGAGGGTGGCTGAAAGTGCGGGCGAAGGGGAGGTTCTTGAGACGAGCCTTGAAGTAGTCCAGGGAGAGAGAGCGAGGCGAAGGGACTGTATGATGCAGTTCCAAAGGGTGGGGGCAGAGAGGAAAATGCAGCTATCTGTTCCTGTAATACAGAATAGAACTTTATAATCTGTGCAAGGTGTGAGTGTTGCTACCAGACCTCCCCAGTGTGTACTTGCTAACATTATTTTCAATTACTGCTGCCCCTAAAGTACAGGAAATACAAAGCTGTCAGGATCGAGGAACAGCATTCATCCAACGTGCGGTAGAACTCAGCCGTGGTGATACCTCGTGCCAGCAGGCAATGGGATCAAAGAGACATTAAGGACTTAAACTGCAGGAAGGGGGAGGAGGCACAAACATAATGAATAATAAACAAAAAAAATTACACATTTGCTCAGTTTGCAGAGCATTGATGTATTTTCAATGTGTTTTGTTCGCCTGTCCTGCCTCTAGCGCTAATGAATCTTAGCCATGAAATCAGAGGAAAGCTGGCATTGCGCTTCCCAACGGTAATAATTTGCGCTGTTTGATACGATGCCTTATAATAATAATAATAATAATAATAATAATAATAATAATAATAATAATAATAATAATCCTTGCATTTGATATGGTGCCTTATCAGGCCTGCGAGCCGTCTCAAAGCGCTTCACAGAATACACTGTAAAGGGAATTAACTGCGCATTTTGTGGGCAAAACTGAAAAGACGTCTCAAAGTTTTTGTAAAGGGTAGTGACTTTTGCATCTTAGGCCAACGCAGGACAGCAGTGAAGTGAATGACCAGTATTTTGTTTGGGGGATTGTTGGCCCAAATCACTGCGAGCGAGCGAGTGAGTGGGTGAGTGTGTGTGTCACAGACCAGTTTAAGTTATCCACTATTAAAACAACGCAGGTCATAAATCTCCCCCCCCCCAGCAATTGTCTCAGTTGGTACCGACTCTGGTATTTTCGTGCTAAAGCTACAATTTATTGCAAAGTATGATTAAAATGTTTGCGATGTCGGAACTGCATCGATCGATAATAATCTCAAAAGTGTCTACGCTCTGCGGCCCAAACGTGTGAGATGGATCAGCACTGTCCGGCCTCTAACCCGGGTCTCCCATGCTTCCCCAGTGTGCCGTGGTGTCCTCTGCGGTTTCGGAGCCGTCTGCGAAAGGGACACGAAGGAACCGACCAAGGGAATGTGCGTCTGCAAGAAAAGCCTGTGTCCTTCCGTGGTGGCTCCGGTCTGCGGCTCAGATTATTCCACCTACAGCAACGAGTGTGAGATGGATATGGCCCAGTGCACACAGCAGCGCCGCATCAAAGTTATCAGCAAAGGACCTTGTGGTGAGTCAGACTTTGATAATAATCCTCGCCGTTTGATGCAGCCCCTTCTCTCACATCGTCTCAAAGCCCTGAGCGTCCAACGCTTTGGCTCTCGCTCTCGCTACAGTTGTTAGACACTCGGGTTTGAACCAGCACGTTTCTAACACAGTTTCCGAACTGTTAGGTCGTTTGAGGAATTCCCACACATTCGACTCCAGCTGGTGAATGATGACAGTTTCTTTGGTTTCCCAGCCGGCTTCTCAGCCCGACCATTGGGGGGTGGGGGGGGTGGGGTAGGGCAAAGGCATGGAACCTCTGGATCATTGATGCACCAGGCAGAAGGCAACCACAGTCAATAGATTGGTTATTATAAAGTCGCTAATATCAATGATGTATTAGTTAGCACCACACGTGATAAATTAGCGCATCCCATGTTGTGATTTTCAGCCCATAAATTGGCAAATCAAGGATTTTGCGCGAGTGACTGTTCCTTTAAGCTCTTTCACTGAGCAACCCAGCGCGTTGCCATGTGCCGAGCTGAAGTGGTGAACCGCCGTCTGCACATCTGGCACAGCCTGGCAGCTCATCAGGAGTGCAAGCACAATCCAATCTGTCATCGGAGCCTTGTTCCATTAGCCTGTAAGAGCATGCGAGCCTGAAGTGTGCCCCGGGCAGGCTCTGTCACGTTCTCCATGTCGCCCACTTGCCAAAGTGTTCGACACGTCCCTCTTCCCCCCTCCTCACCCCCGGCTCTGCGAGGAGCCGAGCTGATTTCACGCTCCCTGAGCATCCCGGTGACTGAGGCTTGTCATGGTGGAAGCAAGCGCGTGTTTTCAGAGAGGCAGCAGCTGCGTGATTTGTCATTCCCTCTCGCACGCCCTCTCCGTGTAAGAGAAACCTTTGTACTGACAGATACCTTTTAATGAATGAAATGCAGCAAATTTCAAAGTTCCGAGGTCCCGAAACTCACTTTTTTTTTCATTTTTGATATTCATTCTGACTTTTGGGCCGGTGGGGGGATGGGGAGGGTAAGCAAAATCTTCCCAGAGCTGAGCTGGCTCCAAGATAAAGCGCTTGGCAAAGGAATGTCGGAATCGAATCAGTTTTCTGTTGTGGTCTCGGTATTCCGGTTCCTGAGCCAGACGAGTCCGCAGTATACCAGAGCACAGCTGATAACAGCCCGGCCCGGCCTGGCTTACTAGCAGGACTCAATGGAGAAGCAGACCGGCCAGTCATGAGGAATACAGATTTTTCCCACTCGAGTCCTGTTAACCCTACAAGCCAAAACCCAATGGGGTTATTACCCCCAGAAAAGCGATCCGCCAATCGACTAACAACCAGCTTCCTACTTACTGCTGGGTGAACAGAGGCATGTGGAGTAAGGAAACTTAGCCAACGTTTCGCCCGGCCTAGGAATCGAACTCAGATCCTCTCGCTCGCGAGGTGAGCACTCTAACCACTGAGCTGCAGGACTCCACAGGGTGGGAGCTGTTTGCCGTGAACTTCCATCGAAAAGGCCCGCAACACAGGAAACCTTTCTCTGTCTGAGGAGAAAGCATGAATAGTACGTCAATGTATATTTGGGTGTATTGTTGGGAAATGACATGGGTCGTTGGCCACAGTCTATGGGTGCAGTGTGGCTACATTAGATGATTTGCTTCTAGGCTTTACCCTGTGGTACTGTCATAGAAGACATCACAATAATAGCTTTTAGATGCAGCGACGTTAGGAAATATCAGGCCTTGCTACTCTCTGTACGGAGTCCCAGGAAACCTCTCAGATAAGCCTTCCGTTACTAATGTGCATTTGGGGTTAGTTGTAAAATGTTTTCCCCATTTCTAGGCTCATTTGTTTCTCTTGCCGGAATTAGGTGCAGCATAACACAGCGTATCTAAAAATGTGTCTCCATCGCCTCATGCGGAGCAGATCTTTATCTTGACAAAGATCATTCGCACGTATTAAATAGTAGGCTCTGAAAGGCGGGCTTTCTAATAGGATTCCTTAATTAGAAATTCCGTGGGAACGCCCCAAATTTTGGACAGTCTTAAGTGTTAAGATAATGGTCCTAAAGCCACGAGAAGTTTTCTGGCCTCGGTTTGTATCCTTGCAAACCGTAAAGAGATACAGGAAGACCCTGATATTCCGTTGTAAGCCTATTCCCTGGAGAAGTTCTGACCTTCAAGGTTTGACAGTTGCTGTTGTCGGGATTTACGGATTTCCTGAGGGGAGCACTGTGTGAGGCCCTGAACAAGCTGGACAGAGAGCAGGGGATAGTGAAAGGGACTCGTTCAGAAGAAAATTGGTCCACACTTGGGTGTGCACATACGGAAGATTAAATCTTCCAAAGTCTGTCTCCTTCCTCTTGGCAATCGGCTGATTATTATGGTCTTATTTTTCTGCTCGGTGACTGGCGGGGGGAGAGGGTTGCTGAGGAATACAGGATCAGAGGAGATGGATGACTGCAATTGAGCGCTAATCCATTGCACGAGAGTTAGGCCGAAAACATTCTCTGTCATGAAATGAACATCTCAACAATTATTTCAGCGGCTCTGGTTGTTTCGGGGGAGACACACACAAGCACTTTTTTTTTAACGTTACGTTATCAGAGTTTTATTAAAAACCGTGTACAAAAAACCTCTCGATAGCGATGGCCCTCAATGTCACTTAGTTTGCAAATAAAACTAAGTGACATCGAGGATAATTTGCAAAATGGTGATTGATTGTGAAGGTTCCTTCACCTCTCGTTTCTCTGCGCTGTGAGGTGCTGTGTGAGCCTGCTGATTTGGTGCATTTTCTGTAATGATTATATTAGGTCCCGACACAGAGAGGTTAGACACGGAGAGTTCCAGGTGCTGAGGCCTGACACACGAGATGAGTTAATGAGGTCTTTGCTAAGCCCAGTAGACACCAGCTGTGCCTGGGGTCCTGGAAATGAGATTCAGATCCTCCCAGCGACTGCAAATTGAACTGACCTCTCGCCTTGCTCCATTTGATCTAATAACCGTGGATCGAAATGAAACTCTGGAGGTTTGATGAAAGGACATCACGGCAGAACGACACTTTCAGAACGAGAACCGCTATTAGAGCGAGCTCCTTCTTCCATCTCTGTCGAACCCTGCACGTAGCCAGACCTCAAACCCTACAGGCCAAACCTACGGCTCAGCAGATTGTAATGTGATCTTTGTCGTTAAGAAAGTTACAGTTTTGCTGCTTTTCTCTCTTCCTCCCCCTCGCCATCCCCGCCCCCCCAAGTGATGTGGCCAGCAATCCTTCAGATTAATCAAAAGTAATAGCCTCAAGGCTATGAATGTCTTTTCTCCCCCCAACTCCTTTCCCGGCCAATATTAACCATTGCCATTTTTGTGAATGTGTATTTGGTGATTGGGAAATTATAGGATGCATTGACCACCTCCCCCCAGTCTTCTCTCTTTCTCTGTCCCTCCCTCCCTCCCTCCGTCCCTCCCTCCCTCCCTCCCTCCCTCCCTCCCTCACTCCCTCCCTCACTCACTCACTCACTCACTCACACTGGCTCGGTATCGGGCTCTGCCACTGTTAAGCGCTCCGAGACTCTGCCCATGAAGGCCGCTGTATAAATGCAAATTATTTTTGTCGTCGTTAAATGCCATAAATGCAGGGATATTCTTGGATGATGAGGAGGTTTGTTAATCACCAGTTGTGGTGCTCAGCTCCTCCTGACAGCAGCAAAAGCGCTGCAGTGTTAATTAGATGTGACGTTCTCTCAATGCGTATGAAAGTGGGCTTTCCTGTCACTAGAGCCCAGTGACAGATGTAGTGGGCAGTGCGCCTGTGGAAACTGACTCAGACCCAACCTCTGGTAATTAAATTAGGCGTTTGCAGCAGGTGACATTTTCATAGGGTGTTTATCTAAATTGCTTGAGTTATTCAAACTGCATTTAATTAATGTTTCGCATGAGATGTTAAACCAAGAGCCTGTTATGTCGCCCTGTTCAGGTGAACATTAAAAGACACCCTTCAAAAAGAGTTTTGCCCCTGCCCGGGAATCGAACCCAGGTCCTCTCGCTTGCAAGGCGAGCGCTCTAACCACTACAAAACAGGACTCCACAATCTTGCTACGCACGGTCACTACACTTTCCAGCAACTGCTGCGAAGCCGCGAGTAGTTTTAACAGCAAAAAGCAAGACGCGATTTCTTTTATTCTTTTGGGATTCGATTATTTTTAATAGGAACGCATTGGTTTCAAATGATTAGAAGGTAAATTGTATCCAGGCAGGGTTTCGAGCAGTTTTATGCCACGGGCAGATTGTGCTGACTTTATTCCGCGCTCACTGACTGACACATGGCTGCTCTTTGGGCAACTCTCTTTGAGGTTGAGGTAAGGATCAGCCATGATCTTATAGACTGGCGCAACAGGCTCGAGGGGCCTACTCACGTTTCTGTTTCTAACCCCAGCTTTTCCTTTGAAGAAATTTCTTTTTTCCCCCCAGGTTAGGTTCCTCGCAGTAACATTGCTTGCAGTTGATGCAGCGCCTCATTGAGAAACATAGAAACAGGCGTCAGCTATTCAACCCCTTGAACCTGTTCCGCCATTTTATAAGATCATAGCTGCTCTGTACCTGCCCTTGTCCCATATTCCTTAATACCCTGACCTAACAAATATCTGTCTCTGCCGAAATATCTCACAGAAGCTCTTTGTGGTAATCAATGCAAAGTCTAGTGACTGTGTAAATCTATGGCTCTGCAATCAAAGGCCAGGATTATTTATTATGTGGCAAGTGATGCCTTTGTTAGTCTCTAACTGCAAGACCTAAAACATCTTTCCAGCTTTAAAGGCACATTTTTCATCACAGATAATGATGTTCTTCAGTTCTCCCAAGTGGTTAAGAAATAAAGATTTTTTTTTTTTTAAAAACTGTGCCGATGAGATGCAGGTACGAGCCCCAGTGAATAGAAATGACTGAAATGTTTTCATGCCTGCGAGGGACAAATGCTCGTGCTCCCCGCATGAGTGGTTTACGACGGTTGAAAGAACCTTCCTGGAGGTGTTGACAATGGCTGGGGCTCTGTGGTATGATGCTGGTCGTTGAGTGACTGCCCGGTTAGCTGTCTTATCATCAACAGGCGGTTGCTCAGGTTTTGAGCCAGCGCAGATTTCAACAACTCGCAGACAGTGGAGGGTGGGTGCTGGCTCTAGAGACTACAGCCTCAGGTTACACTTGGTGTCATGTCACAAACACTAGCCATCTTCATATTCCCCTGCCCCGTCCGTCCATCCGTCCGTCCGTCCGTCTGTCTGTCCCACCATCGGTAAATTGAGCTTTCTGCCGCGCGCTCTCAAACTCCATCCCACGAGAACCTCTGACTTGCTCCCTCTCCCACTCCCCACGTTCAAAGCCTCACCTTAAGGTTTGATGGAGTGCTCAAGACCTGTTGCCGTTGACTGGAAGGAACCCACTTCGGTTTAAGTCAAAATCTCCACGGCTGACGTTCTGTCAGTTGCCATGGTAATCCATTAACTGCAAAGAGTGTTATTTCCCTGTTGGCTGTACAGACGCTGCCAGAAGCACACAGTATGCAGTGGGATAGCATCATCTGAGGAGCAGAATGAAACATGTTACTGTACCATGACTGAAGCAGCTGTCTTAATGACAGAACGATTAACCAATTAATTTTGTACTATTAATCTCTTTAATTACGTATCCCGTTTGCTATATTAATTGTCGCCGGCCGGGAGAGGCTAGCGTTTCACTGTTCACAATGTTCTTTCGTGAATTTGAAAATTGATGGTGTCTGTCTGCTTCTTATTTTCCGTCAGCTGAACTCGCCCAGAGGTGTGAGAAAACCAGGAGTGTTTTAACAATAATTTACGTTGCTAAAGATAGCGAAATTCACCGCGGGGAAAACGGCTCAAAGAGCTTCACATAACTGAAAGGGAGCCCAAGCTGAGGGGGCCGGGGTGAAGGGTGGGGCGGGGGGGCGGTGGTTGGAGCTGAGGAGTGGAGGGAGCAAGTTTGCCAAAGGCCACAATCAAATAGGTTTCGCCCACAAAATATACAGTCAATTCACTTTACAGTATATTCTGTGAAGCGCTTTGAGACGTGCGATGCTGTCACTGAAATCTGGCCAACGCCATGCGTGTGTTTTGCTTGTTGTCCCAGGCTCGAAGGACCCCTGTAGTGAGGTGAGCTGCAGTTACGGCAGCACGTGCATCCAGTCTTCGGACGGGCAGTCGGCCAAGTGTATCTGCCCCACGAGCTGTGAGAGGAAAGTGGAGAAAGCCGTGTGCGGCAGCGACGGGCAGGACTACAGGAACGAGTGCGAGCTGAACATGTACGCCTGCGACCGGCAGAAGAACCTGTACAAAAAGCACAACGGACCTTGCGGTGAGAGGGGGAGCAAGTCCGAGGCTCTCAGACCGTTGATTCTGAATTTTTTTTTGGAAGCTGGAAGCTGGTTCTTCCAAAGACCTGCAGAAAAATGGCTCCCAGATAATAATGTGCACAATTGTGGGACGCCTTAAATCTTAAAGCCCATCTTAAAGCTCGGCGAAGACTTGGTGGGATAGCAATATATTACCATATGGAATAGATTTTGTTTTGGGGGTGGGGGAGGTGGGGGGTTGCGCAGGTGAGAGTTGATGCCGGTGTTGGAAGAGGTGGGTAAGTCACCCAGGTGTTGCAAGACTTGCATCATGTGCTGTGCAATATTTAATCGGATGATTTGGCTAAAGGATTTTAAATTCCCCCCTCCCCCTCCCCCCCCCCCCCCCCACACACACACACAGATAAAACAGCTATTGCAGCCTGGTTATACAGTGAGTTGGGATTGTAACCGAAAAATCAAATCCCAATTGATAAATTGTAGGGCCCTTGTCACGGTCAGGATGTTTCATCTGAAGCACGGCACCTCAAGAGCAGCAGAGGCTCCCCCAGTACTGTGTAGACTGTGAGATGGGCCTTGGTGCGTCGAGAGGGTATCGTCACAAGCCTTCACTGTCCAGTGTCTGTAACTGCACCCCTGTTCTGTTGTCTCCCGGACAGACCCCTGCAAAGACACGCAGAACGACCTGAATAAGGCCTGTCGTGTCAATCCCTGGAATCTCAAGCCAGAGATGCTCCAGAGGCCCGAGAACTGCCCTGATGATTACGAGCCGGTCTGCGCCGACAACGGGAAAACCTACAGCAACAAGTGCAAGATGGAGAGAATCGGGAAACTGAATGGCATCAACCTGCAGAAGGTTCGCTCTGGACCCTGTCAGTCTCAGGGTGAGTTCATGTCTAGGGAGCACGAGAACCCTAGACATCACTGCGCAAGAGTGGAACATTCCCTCCCACCCAGGCTGTCCTGGGGGGGGATTTTTCTCTCGTCGAGTCAGTCTAATCCCACTCTCCCGCTCGGTCCCCCGTAACATTCCTCCTCATCCATTTTAGGAAACGGTGTTCACATTCGAAACCAGCCGCCGTTCATTAATTGTCTGAAGCTCTTGATGTCGCTTAAAACAGATTGAATTCATAATTAACACGTGGAACCTGATACGAAGCATTGCCTTGTTCAGCCGCCTACTTTTCAAGCAACATCCTGAGGGTCTTCATGGCAGAATATCCCCTTTTCCCACACACACCCCTCCCACCACCACCGCTCCCCCTGATCCCCCACCCCAGCACGGTGCTCAACTCGACCTCTCCCTCCATCGATTGCAGATATCTGTAAAGAAGAGTGCGAGTTTGGTGTGTGTCTGAACCGAAGAGGCAGCCTCAGGTGTTCCTGCGACAGAATTATTTGCGATGGGAAGTACAAGCCAGTCTGTGGCCGGGACAACAAGAGTTACAGGAACGATTGCGAACTCAAGAATGCGGAGTGTCGGCAGAAATCGGCCATCCCCATCAAGTACGAAGGGCCTTGTGGTAAGTGCCGGACGGTAACGAGTTGGGCTCCTTCTCGGGCTGGCCGTGGACCTTCTGTGTTGCTCCGATAACTGATGTGAAATGTCTCTCGTGTCGCTTTATTGTGATCTGTTGTTTCATTCGGAAAAGATGTGTGCATTCCCTCCTTGTTCGTGTCTGCGTGAGTCTCGTCTCCCAACGCGGTGGGAGCGAGTGAGGGTTTGAACGCTGCCGTGTAACTTCTTCATCGTTTCCCATCGTTGCTCCTGTTGCTCCGTGTTCCGCCATGTCACACACGGTTGTCTCCTCACGCCCATGACATCCGGTAGTGCCAGACCACGTGCTCCCATCCATCCATCCATCCGCTCCCTTCTTCTCTCTCTCTCTCTCTCTCTCTCTCTCTCGCTGCATCCTCCACAAATGTTTCCTGTTTTAACTGTGTTTTTCTCGTGTGATGCGATGTCTCACTGAAAACCATCTCTTTTTGTCTTGTCTCTGCAAATTGTCTGATCACAGTTGGAGCCGCGCGTACACCACTGTCTCTGCGTATTTTGTGGCAAGAGTCCAACCTCTGACTTGGCTTCGGGGCCTTGATTGTGGGCAATGATGGACCACGGTCAGGAGAGATTGTCAAGTGAGGGGGAAGATTAGCTTTGCTCTCGCTCCGGATGGATTTCCTCTTGAGAACGCAGTTCTTTGATGTGAGAGAATTGTGGAAGAACAGCTTCCAAAGTGCTGCGCAATCTTCCATTTGCTGACTGTAGTCTTAAGGCTGAGATCTTGAGGAGTTTTGAGCCTTGGGTATGAGGGGCTCAGCTGTTCCAGGTACACGTGTGACTGAAGGGCCGCGAAGTACAGTGGTGATCAGATGCTGAGATCCCACCCCAGATGATTCTCAGGCACACGTCGGGAGTGAAGGAAAGAAAATGGAGGGGGGAACGAGCCTGACTTGCTAGAGCTTTCAAGTGATGTTGGTTTGCACATCCTGTCGCACTGCTGTGCTGTTCTCCCAGCCCACCCGTGCGATCTGAGCTCACAGTTGTAGCTCGCTGAGCTGGATTTGTATATTTTTCTCCCCTGTGTCATTGGCCGAGTGTTTCCCTATGTGGCAGAGAATTCCTGCTGGTTCTCCGGTGCCCTGTGACTGGCTTGCACTGGGTGGGTCTAAACGGGGAATGGAGGGTGAGATTTATTTTTCAGAGAATCGATTGCTTGTCAAATGAAGTAGCCTCCTGAGATGAAGAAGAAAGTTGCTAGTCCACCAAAGCTTTGCGTAATCCCTTGGGTCCACCATCTAATGTACTCAGTTGGAAATTGACAAACCTCAAGCAAGGCTAAAGAGGCACTCAGACCCCTCTCTCCCCCCACACAACGTGACAGTTATCAAAGTTGACTAATGCTGTTTTAAGAGAGGAGCAGGAGAAAGATCTGGTTAAGCATGCCGGTCACAGTTGGATGAATGATCTGGAGAGCTTTAATATTGTGTGTCCATTGGGCCCAGTGAAGCCGTGCTCTGAGTTACCCTCACGATTGATCAGTGGAGGTTGTGTTATGTTAGATTCTCTATCTTTGGTGTTGGAACGAAACCTCAGATGTCTGGAAGGTTTCACATGCAATTGCACATTTCCCTCTGGAGAATGTGTCATTGTGCAATTTGTAGATGGAATATTGGGGTTAATTGGCCATTTCTCCCGTCTTTTTTATCGTGTTCTTTTGCAACAGAATCAGCACTAAATTCCAGATGTTCACAGAAAAAAACAAACTAGAAATTTACAGCACAGAAGGAGGCCATTCAGCTCATCCCAGGAGTCTGTCCTTCTGGATTTGTAAAACCATGTAAAAATATTTTTTTTGCACACTCGAATTGCTATCAGTTCAGTGAAAAAAGATGAGCCTGTGTGAGATTGGTTCCATTTCTCACCCCTTATACGGAAAATCAAATTAAGATGTCATTTGCTCTTGTCAATGAGCGATTAGATTAATTGGACACATTCTCAGCTTCTCTCAATTGTTGCGCTCTACTGACTATTCTCTACTCCAACGTAGCCATCGAAAGGGTGACTGAGAAATGCGATAGTCAGTGAATAACCTCCTGCCTGATTCCTTCAAACAGACCTTAACACTCCAAGCCCCTGTCAGAACTTTACCTGTGAGTTTGGATCCAAGTGCATTGTGAAGAACAACCAGCCTGTGTGCGAGTGCCAGCACAGCTGCCAGAACTTCTACGACCCAGTTTGTGGTACTGACGGAGATACCTATCCGAACGAGTGTGAACTGGAAGCCATGGGCTGCACCAACAAAAAGGAAATCCACATCAAACACAAGGGGCCTTGCAGTAAGTTGGGACGGAGCCTAACGGCTTCTTTGAGTTTACTATCTCTTATGTCATTCAGCTTGTCATTGTGTTTCGCAGCAACATAACAAGGGGGAAAATTGCGACTTGTGATCCATACATTAACACACTGGTGAAAATTCCTCCCCGGCTTTGTTACAGTGGTTGACCCAGGGTTTTCTCCATTGCATGCTATTAGTAAATTAGTAGTCCACTTTCTTACAATGATTTTGATGCCATTACAGCTCTACTGTGGGCTCAGGCAGCCAACCCCCTGATAGTCTTTCAATCCGTCTGTTCCCTCATTACGTTAAGTGGCACATATTGTATGGAGCAGAGCAGGTTTGATGACCATTAAGCTTTCAGCAAAATCGTTTTAAGGTCTGAGGCCGGTCCACAAGGCACAGGTCAGTCATGGCACATATGGTCTCTTCACAGCATCGTGTTTCCCCCTGGGCTCCAGGCACTGAGTGTGGTCATGACCTTCAATCTCAGCAAATGGATATTTGTTAGAAAGCTGGACAACCTGGTGTCTGTGAGCCTGACACATGATGTGACGGGGAGAGCTAGGAGGTGAAACAAGGTCTCGGCAGCTGTGGTCCACTTGTTCCCAGTGGACATCACAAGAGGGAGGACTGGTTGGGGGGCAGCTGATTCGGGGGTGGGGGGGGAAGGGGTGGGGAGTTCTTGTTGTCTATAGCGAGGCCCCGGATGGTGAGGCTAATGCCAATAGGGAGAAGATTACAAAAAAAATAAAAAATTCCCACCCGCTATTTCTTTTTTTCCAAAAAATGACACCCATTATATTCCCCCACGGAGACGCCAGATGTTTTCTTGCTGGTAGAGAGGGAACGGCTGGAGGCTTAATCCCTTGTCATTGCAGAACAAGGTTGGGAGAGTTTTGGCTGTAGGGGTTCTTAGGGACGGATGGTGATTGCTGGCAGCCGTTCTCCTTCACGTGCCCAATATTAGCACCTGGGGCCTGGTGAGCCACTTCTCAGCGCACAATCTGTCGAGAGCTCCAAACAGTAATCAAACGTGGAGTGTGTGAAATAAACAGTCCTGCCAAATGGGGCCATCTAATGCAATGCTTTTATAATCTAATTGTGCCAGTGCGTGCAGTAATCTTACTCGACAGTCCTGCCTGCGAAGTGAACTGGATTAATGCCTCTCGATAGTCTGAAGGTTTATACCAGAGATTCCTGATACGTTCAAAATGATATTAAGATTTAATTTTCTGATAGCTTCCTTTTCACCACAAGACTCCACAACGGGCTGCTCAGCATCACGGTCATGTCATCGTCTGGTGAGGCACTGAAGCTGTGCAGATTCCCAGGCTGTGCTGAGCTAACTGGTCTCAGCTGGTTGGGGTATCACCCCCCTCCCCCCCCCCCCACCACCCCAATAAGAGAGGGGAAAGATATCCAGGGTTAGACATCCCGAGGCGCTGGACGGTCAGGGATATGGACCCGAGCTGGGGGTGGGGATCGGGATGGGCGGAGGGTACGGGGGTAAGGAAGGTGACCAAAGGCACGGGTCGAAGCGACGGGTCTTGAGATGGGCCTTGGCTTGAGGCTCAGTAGAAGCAGCACTCGATTTTCATTGTAAAAGAGCTTCAATAGCCCTGTGACTCCAGCACCAGGGATTCCACTTTTCGCTTCCACTTTGACAGAAAAGATAACAGTTGGGATGAAGTTCTGACAACCGCTTCCCTCAAAGGAATACTCCAGAGGCCCACTAACATTAAATGCTTTATAATGGCTGAAATAAATAGGCTTGGGCATTGAGTTTATTTTTAATGGGGCTTTAGTTGCTCTGTCCATTATGCTCTCATCAAACTGATCCAAAAGGACAGTAAAGATGAGAAGTAGAATGGAATGAGAATTCAGTGTCGAAAATAGGTGCTAGTTAAGACCTGATGAACCTGACAGTGGCTGTTGGAGAGACACTTGTTGGGAAAATAGCATCGGAACCAGTGACTTGATGCTGGAAAAAGCATCTCGAGGCCTAAAGTGGGTCTCCTGCTATTTTCATGCTGTGAGGGGGTTGGGGGGTGAGAAGAGGGGAGAGAAGAGATCTCAAAAGGGCAATGGATGGGAATGTCTGGTGGGCCTGTAGTTTTGAGTTGATTGCTCATTTGACCAAAACATGAGGTAAAATTTTGCACAAAATAGTATTTCAACAAGGTTTGGTTTTATTAATAGTCCTTGCATTCGATGTAGCGCCTTATCAGGTCGTTGAGACATCTCAAAGCGCTTCATACGATCTTTTGCAAAGTGAATTGACTGTGTATTTCGGGGGTCAAACGGTGCAGCCAATTAGGCATAGCAGTGTCCCCACAAACGCTCTTGTGTCTGAATACTCTCTGCTTCTCATCACATTCCGGTAGCGTTTGACCAGTTTCCGGAGCCTACTCCGTCAGCGGGCTGTTCCTGGGGTGGGGGGCGGGGGAATTTGGGTGATTATTAGGCACTTTTCGAGCTGAATTATTTCCACTAAAGATGTGCTCCTTTTCAATTTGCTGCTTTTTAAATTTCACAGTGGAACTGTTTAATTTCATTGAATAATAATCTGTTAATATACATTACGGCAAATGTGTAGCGTTCCCGTCCTTGGCAGCTATTCCAGTCGCTGGATTTGTACTCGGTTATTGTGTGTATCAAACTGAATGACATTCCATTAAGATTTTATGTGGAATTCAATTTCTACCCTTTGTCACGTACCATTATTAATCTCCGGCAATTTTATTTCTGCGCTGAGAGTGTTATCAATAACTCTGCTTAATGAAGTCTTCGAGACGCTCCTGAAGTGGCTAAACCCTATAACTCAGGTGGCAGGTGCTGCTGATGGGGGAAGCTTTCTATCTGAGCAGGAGATGACCTTGGTTCAAGTGTACATTACTACTGAACACACGCAAGCAGCCTTGCATCAGTTCGTACATTGATGATGGCCTTCGCAGGGAGGGAATCAAACGGGTACAAACTTCGGCATATTTAACGTCTCTCTGAACAACACCTTGGTTTTAATGTCCCGCCCAACCCGATGGCACCTCTCTGACCGTGTTACGTCTCCACAGAGCGTCCCTTGAGAATGGACTCTGTCGTGGTGAAATCCTGATGTCAGACCACAGTGAAGCTATTAACAGTGTCGGCTTTCTCTGCGGATGCCAAATCCAGATAGTTTTGACTGATGTGGTTTACTTCCCGTTGCCGCGGTAACCGATTGCGCTGCCAGCTTGGGAATTCATTAGTGGAGATGTAAGGTTTAGAAAATTAATAATGAGAGGGCTAAGATATTTCGGTACGTTTGAATCACTGGAAGGGGTTGCATTTTGCTCGGCTGTGATGTGTCAATTAAGACGTGCATACGTTCGATTTAGTGTGACCTTATGATGATTGCAACACATTGACTGTTCTTTGGGTTGTACTGGAGGCAGAAAACCCTTCTCCTTCTCCCCCCCCCACCCACCACCCTCCCTCCACTGTCCGTTACACTTCCCGACAGCTTTGCCTGAAAAACCAGCCACACAATGGATTTGGCCGTTGAGGATTGGATGGCACTGCAGCGTTCCCCCGAGGACCAGTCCGTAGGTCAGACAGAAACACTGAGAATCTTCCATCTTTTTAAGCAGTTCCCAATCCTGAGGGAACATTTTTCTATCCTTTTTTTGCTTTTGCCCACAAAATAAACAGTCAATCCCACTTTACAGTGTATCCTGTGAAGGGCTTTGAGATGTCTCGACGACTCGATAAGGCGCCACAAGGATTATTATTTATTATTTATTATTATAGATTATTATTTATTATTATTATTATTATTCTTTCCCTTCCAGATCCCTGCTCGCACTGTCAGTTTGGTGCCATCTGTGAGACGGGGAAGTGCGTGTGTCCGACAGAGTGTGTCAGCTCCCAGCAGCTGGTGTGTGGCACGGATGGCAACACGTACGAGAATGAATGTAAGCTGAACGTCCAGGCATGTATCACGCAGACGGACATCCAGGTGGCAGCGCACGGGCCATGCAGTAAGTCCTTATACACTCGAAGTTGTACCTGAGGTGTGTTTGTGAGGCCACTTCCGGGGCAGAGCTATGCGCAGCTGGATGTCTGGGTGTGTTAGGGTATCAGAGCGCACGCAGAAAAGGCAGGCAAATGGTATTGGGATACCATGAGATGAGTGTGAGCGAATAGACTGAATGCCGATCCCTGTCCCCTCGTCACTTTCTCTTAACACTCAGCAATGGAGAGGGATGGAGGTACCAGTCCGTGTCCTTAACTCGAAAGGTGCAGATGACGTCCTGAGCAAAGAGCCTTGAGCTCACTGTTTGCTGTGGTTTATTTTCGTTTTCGTCTTCGTCTCATTGTTATTTGACAGCCTTGGGTTTGGAGGGTTTGATTAGCGATGGAGCACACTCTGTGCTTGTCGCATTAGGGTCCGTCGCGGAAGAGCCTTAACACGCGCTGGCCGCGACAACAGGAGATTGATGTGTTCGATGTTTATCGCGTTCATTTCGTGCGAGATGTGATGAAGGGGCTCAGGTGGCCACTGTGGAAGTGTCATCAATCCTTTCAAAACGGATCTTCCCAAATAGGAGAGCCACCTGAGGCAGCTCCAACTCCAGAACACGCTTCCTCCCCTTAAGAGACGAGTGCGCTGGTGCACGTAGATTGAAAGGGGACACGGTGGAGATGTTTTAACGTTTTCAAGGTTCCCCCAACCGTAAAGAAGTGAAAAGTTTTCCTTCAAATGCAGATTAGATGGTTTTCTTTTAGGAAATCCCATTACGGAATATTGTACAGAGGTAGTTCGGGACATACGCCTATTATTATTATTATTATGATGTGCTTGGCGACCGCCAGGAAGGTGGGAGGCGAACTAGATGGACCTTGGGTCTTTTTCTTTTTTTTCTCTGCCTACGTTCTTATGTTCTAATGTAAATCCCTGTCTCGCCGTTTGTTTGTTTGTTTGTTTGTTTGTTTGTTTTCTCAGAGCCGTGTGGCGCCACTGTGTGCTTGTTCGGGTCGGAGTGCGTAAACCTCCAGTGCGTGTGCCCCCAGTGTAAGAGCCTGCAGTCCTCTCCGGTGTGCGGCTCCGATGGCATCACGTACCCGCAGCTTTGTGTCCTGCACTTCACCGGCTGTCAGCAAAAGAAGAAAATCGAGGTGGTGAAGGAAGGCTCCTGTGACGAAGGTACGTTACTGCGGTGAGCTTGTGGCACAGCCTCTTCATTTGGGTGGCAGCCTGGCGAGGTCCAGTACCCGCAGCCCGCTCGTCTCTGAGTCAGAAGGTCGTAGGTTCAAGCCCCACGTCAGGGACTTTGAGCTCAAACAGTCTAGGCTGACGTTCCAATATGGGGGTCGGGGGGGGGGAGATGTGCTACACTTTTAGAGGTGCCGTCCATCAGATGATGCGTTAAAACGAGACCCCGACTGCATGTTCAGGCGGGAGGTTAAAGATCCCCGTGGCGCTAGTTGAATAAAGATGTTTCCCCTGGTGTCATGGACAACAGCCCCATTCAGCTTAAAAATTGTGCCATTTGTTTTATATTTCACAGACTAGCTGTGCAGCTTATTGAGAGATTGTGAGAGAGTTTGTACCACGTTGGGAAGCATTACGAAACAGAGGCATAAAATCTTAAAACATCCAGAACAGACAGAAAGTGACCAATTTGATTTTGTACTTAAGGGCAGTGGCGGAGGATCTGAAAGCTGGGGTTCAATTATTTTCCTTAGTATGACTTCCTGAATGCTCTCTGGGCAGCTCAGCCACAGGGAATCTGTTTGCATTGTCTAATCCGTGCACTGCAAACCAATCCGCTACTTAATGACCACCGATCAATATCCCATTGATTTTGCTGGTGTTCAAAGGTATGTAAATGTTTACACCAGGAAAGAGTCCATGTTAAATGCAGGCATGTTATGAAAGACGCTGTCTGTGGGGAACATGACAGAGGAATCTATAAATAAACTCAACTGAGCAGCTTTGTGCGCGGCTAATATTTAATTAATGGAGTTTGTTTTGTACGAAGACCGCAAAAGTGTCACACGAGAAAGCTTCTGTTTGAAGGGCTGGCTTTTCTTTTTCGCTTTCCTGGTCAGCTTGTTGCTTTTGTGACGTATCTCTCCTCGCTTGGTTTGCTAGCTGTGATCCTCAGAGGCTTAAAAAGAAGTAAGATGTGGATTCTGGAAACGTGAAATGAAAACAAGAGAATGCCTGAGATCCACAGCAGATCTTTGAGTTGTTTGAAAGAGAAAGAGACGTTAGCATGGTAGTTATAAGAGGATCTTCACAAGAGAGGTTCAGAAGAAACTTCAACCTATTTGATCTCATCCTTCCAGAATGTAAAGGAACACATGTCAAATTGTAGAATGTTACTGCACAGAGAAGGGGCCATTGGCTCATTAAGGTCTGCTCTGTCTTGATGGTTTCTGATCCATAAATGCCATGTGGTCTGTCTCACTCGCTCGCTCGCTCGCTCGCTCCCCATATCTTTTAAGTGTCAACTTAATTCCCTTTTAAAAGCTCTCATGGACTACTTGACATCTGTCCTAAAATTAACTGTGAACCTGTTAACTTCTTGTGCTGCTTTGGCATATCAGAACATTATGTTCTCTAGTTTGCTTCCACCATCCCGTTAAATGTCTTTCATGTCTGTGTAAGATCCCTTGTGACTTGTCTCTTTTCAAGGATGAAGTGCTCCCGCTTATCTCATCATTTCCCCCTTAGCTTATCGCTCTGACAATGGGAATCAAGTCTCAGATTCCGCCATTATATTAGATCATAGCAGAAAGATGCAATTAGGCCCATTGTATCGGTGCTGTTTCTCGCTCCCTGACTGGAGATATCAGCTCCTATCACTTTCTCCTGCCTTTTCCCGATAACCTTCTGTTGTTTTTCCTTGAATATTTATCCACTAAAGTATCCAGTATCACTCCCATCATTAAGGCTTAGTTCACCTTCAGTGTTACGATCAAACTATTTTGACTCGTGTGACGGTAAAATGATGCTGTTCCTGAAGCGTTAACAATGTTCGCTGTTCAATAGTTGAAAAAGAGTTAGGGCTTCGACAACATGAACAGCAACAGCTTGTACTTATATCGCGCCTCTCAGCAGGGTAATGTCTCAGAGCACTTTAACTTCACTGATGGACACAGAGTCTGTGGGATAAGGAAAGGGAGAGCACGTATACTGAATGACGGAGTTTGGTGGAGAGGGACGGAGGAACATAACTCCGTCCACACCCCCACCCCCCCGCCCTCCACACCCCCAGAGGCTCACTGCCTCCAGAGGTAACCATTCAGATGTGACGGTTTTGCTGTAGAACTGGCTTTGCGCCACTTAAGTGTTCTTGTTGCTCTTGTTACGGCAGAATGTGGATCTGGAGGCTCCGGTTCGGGCGAGGACGGGGAATGTGGGCAAGAACGCTGCCGGAAGTACGGAGGCACATGGGACGAGGACATGGAGGACGACCGATGTGTCTGTGAATTTGTCTGTCGGAACGTGCCCTTCAACCCGGTGAGTAGAGAGGCCGGCTCACTGCCAGCGCTCAGGGCTGCCTGCAAAGCAAGATGAAGCTGGAGCCTTCCAATAATGTCCGGAAAAGTGAAGACTTCACTCCTGTTGTTCGTCAGAAAGCGAATGCTCTCTGAGCTCAGGTTTAAATGACAGACTCTCATTCGCGTGCGCCTCAAAGCTACTTTGTGAAGATATCAAGATTGTTCTGACTGAACTGTGGGTTCTAATACATTCCTGATATAATGTATATTCTAATATTCCCTCCCTCCCTCCCTCCCTCCTCCCTCCCACCCCCCTCCCTCCCTCCCTCCGTCCCCCCTACCCCCTACCTCCCTCCCTCCCTCCGACCCCCCTACCTTCCTCCCTCCCTCCGTCCCCCCACCTCCCTCCCTCCCTCCCTCCCTCCGTTCCCCCCCTACCTCCCTCCCTCCCCCTTCCCATCTACCTCCCTCCCCCCTCCCTCCGCCCCTCCCCCCTCCCTCCGTCCCCTCCTACCACCCTCCCTCCCTCCCTCCCTCCCTCCATCCCTCCCTACCTCCGTCCCCCCCTACCTCCCTCCCTCCCTCCCTCCCTCCCTCCCATGGAATGAACTTTTTCATAATGGGGGAGAAAAATACGCTTGCAAAAAAGGGAGCTTGTTCAATTTTGAAACCTATTTTTAAGAGGTAACGTGTCGCTATGGGCAGGACTTTATGAATTTATGCGCATTTATACAGTGATTTTCACATTAAAGAATGTCTGAGGGACCTTGACAAATGCAATAAAGGTCACCGTGCAGAGGAAATGGGAGATTTTCAGATGTTGATCGAAGAAGCAGTTGAAAAGCTACATTTTTAGAAGTTTTTTTTTAACAAAAAGACAGGGAAAAGGGGTAGGGAATCAAGAGGGGAGATTGTGGAGGGATTTGAAGACCGGGCTGAGGGTATTCACAGACTATGCGCAAGTCTGTTTACCTGATTCGTTTTGTTTTTCTCCATTTAATAATAATAATGATGATGATGATAATAATAAGCCAATTGTCTTATTCTTTCCAATATCAGTTGCAGGCTTAAATGCTGTAGTAGCTCCCAGTTATCTTGGGGTCATTGGACTTTAAAAGCTGCTTTTTGTGCAGATTTCGATCACTAACCCTCGCCCTCCAGTTCTCCCTTGGTTTACATTAAGAGTCAATCAGAAACTGTGACTCATAAAATCTATGATCCCGATCCCCGGTGCTGAACACTCTTTGCTTGACTAATGACGCAAGACTGTCTGCCCTCCCCCTGTGGGTAGGTTTGTGGATCCGATGGGATGACGTACAACAATGAGTGTTCCCTGAGGAAGAGCCGCTGTGAGAAGCAACAGGATCTCCAAGTGGCCAAGCCTGGGATCTGTGAGGGTGAGTCCTGCAGCTAATGAGTACAGACTCCGCAGCCAATTGGGGCAACGAGTCAAGTGGAGATGTCAATGCAGGGGGCCGTGGCGCGGTTCGGACAGCTACAGGTTGAGCTACTCGCTCCTGCTTTGCTTTGCGAGCCCAGCAGAATTCAACGGCGAGAATTTCGGCAAGTATAAGTCTGGATTTGTTCCCCTCAAACGGGCGTTTAATTGCTGGAGGATTCAGTGGTGAGGGGAAGCTCTTCAGAACTTGTGTTTTCTTTTCATCACATCAAAGTCCTGCACGGTAATTACTGACAAATGTAGCAACTGTTTTTGGAGGCGAATGTAGCAGACGTTTGTGCCAGCGAGGTCCCACAAACAGCCAAGGGGTGACTGAGCAATTTATAGGGAAGATTGTTGGCCAAGACCTTTCTCTTTTCCAATAGTGTCGCATTGGCACTTCTGCTTGACTTGCCAGTGCCAGTTGGATGGCGTTGATATTGGCTGTGCTGATGAGCAGGATATTTGATGCTCACTTGAAGAAAGGGAAGCAGAGCATTTACTTGAGGTTTCGTCTGAAAGGCCACACCTCTGACACTGGCACACCCCCCGGCCCTGACTGTGAGCTTCAGCATCAAGAGAAACCACAGTCCTCTGTCCCAATGCTACCAGCTCAGTCAAACCACATTTCTCATGTGATGCTATTCTCAGCTTTATTACCCTCTCAGTCACAACATGGCAGCTCTGCCAAGCTTATAATAATAATAATCCTTGCATTTGATATAGCGCTTTTCACGTCGGGAGGACGTCCCAAAGCGCTTCACAGAACACACTGTAAAGTGAATTGACTGTATATTTGTGGGCGAACGCGGCAGCCAATTGCGCACAGCAATGTCCCACAAACAGTCGTGGATTGAAAATGACCAATTTATTATTGTTTTGGGTTTTTGGAGGGATTATTATTAGGCTCTGTGTGGAGTAAGGAAACTTGCCCAAGGTTTCGCCCTCTGCCTGGAATTGAACTCAGGTCTCTCGCTTACAAAGCGAGTGCTCTAACCACTGAGCTACAGGACTCCACAGAGTTCCACTCTTGCCTAAAGGGTGAGCGGATTTCTACTCCTAACCAGCTACAAGTGGCGACATATCACTTACTTTCACTTCCTGCTCCTTCCCCTCCTGTCCGCCCAGGTACGTAGGAAAGAGCCTGATTGGACAGCTCTTTGAAAGAGCCGCACGGGCACAGTGGGCCGAATGGCCTCCTTCTGTGCAGCAAGATTCTACGATTCCAAGTGCCTCCACAAGATGCAATGTGGTCTCCGTGTTCAGACCATCATCCCAATGCCCCACAATTTAACGGCACAGGGTATTTGGTAGGTCAGCACGATGCTGGGCTACTCCCAACATTTCCTTAAAGTCAGAGACACCGAGTGATGTAGAATCTGATTCCTTTCCCCGCGCTCTTGTTGTTGTCTGCAGCAAAGTGGTTTGACATTATAGGGAGCCGCCTGGAGGAGGAGTGGCAGTGAGTTCAAACGTGCAAATTAATTAAAATGGGACTCGGGCTTGGGATCTGTTGAGGACTCGTGCTTTGCACCAGCAACGTGACCTTTTCAGAAGCTGTCAGTGGAATTGCAGTCCTGCCCGCACCTCCGTTGCCCTCTCTGTGATGGTGCTCGGCTCGCTCTACTTTACCGCTGCTAGCATTCTCAGGCTGACGAGCCCAGGAACATCCAGAATACTGGATGCATGTGTGTGTTTGTGTGTGTGACCGTGCGCGAGATCAAGTCATGAGTCAGTTGTGTTTAAGCCCCAAGGTAGCTTGGAGAGCTACGTTAAGAGTTCTGTTTGCAGCGTTTTCACTAAGCGATCTCGGGACGTGACTGCTGTACAAATGTGACTGATTTGTAACCGTGGCTTCAGGCCAGAGATGCTGGCCAACAGCACAGACAGCGCTGACACGAGTCCTGCTCCAGAGAGCTGAACAATGGTACTTTGGAAAATATGACCATCGGGAACCAACGCGCAGCAATTCCCCACCAGAGTCACTGATGGCAACTCCCAAGTGGCAACTCACGGCAGTCACCAGACATGGGTCCTGTCGGGCGTGGGTCTGTCCCCGAGGGTGGGTGAGGGGTATCGCCTGTTACTGTGGCTCTTCCCGGTGGGAGTTGCTGTTGTGAAACGCAGTTGGAGAAAGCGTTGTTTCCTTTCAGGTACAAATGCAAATGCAAACTGGCTGCTGGGTACAGCTGTCGGCAAATTCACGTCACGACGCGTCCAGTGGGTCAACCGTTTAATTAATCTGATTTCTTATTCCGTAGCTTCTCAGACACCACCCGCTTTGGAACGGCACTGCAGCAACACGGTCTACGGCTGCTGCCTTGACAATGAAACAGCTGCCCTCGGAGTTGGTCTCGCAGGCTGCCCAAGTGAGTTGTGATTCCAGGGTTCCTCTGGATACGATGAATGACTGAAAGGTGCGATTTGAAGACGGGGAAGGAGGGGGCGAGGCAGAGGGATTGAGGGAGAGTGTTCCAGAGTTTCGGGGCTGCAGTGGCTAAAAGCGCGGCCACCGATGGTGGAACGGAGGACAAGTGTTAACACCAGCTCTTTGCCGTTCTTGTAGAACGTTGTATGTTTGTTCCTACGGTTAAGCGTTAACAAGTTTGTCCACATCCTTTTATTTCTGTTTGGTGTTCAAGTATCACTCCGGAACAGTGAAGCATTATACACACTTTCAAAATGATTCATTTATTTTTTTTAATAAAATGCAGCAGTATACAAATCCAGAGTTTATATTCCGTGTGTGCATTTTTTTTAATATCTTTCGCAGGCACCTGTCAGTGTAACAAGTACGGCTCATACGGAGGAGGGTGTATTCCTACTACTGGTCAATGCTCGTGTAAGCCGGGTGTGGGTGGCCTGAAGTGTGACCGCTGTGAGCCGTCGTTCTGGAATTTCCGGGGGATCGTTACGGACGAGAAGAGCGGCTGCACTCGTAAGTGAATCTTAACGGCAGCCCTACCCGTGTGTGCGATCAGATCTAAGAATAATAACCCTTCCTCGCGTTCGATACAGGCGCCTTATCGTGCCGTTGAGTCCCCTTGAAGTGCCTCACAGGATTTTTAACGCAAAGTGTAGTGACTCTGTGTTTTGTTGGGGAACACAGCAGTCAATTTGCGCGCAGTAATGTTACGGGAGATAGCCATGGATTGAGTGACCAGTTTTATTTGTTTGATGTGTCCTCCGAAGGACGGCATCACCAACAATAGCTTGGCCCGTTCCTCCCCCCTACTCCACCCTGTGCCCCCCCAGGGCTGCATTGGGAGGTCAGTGTAGATTGCGAGTTCAAAGCCCCAGCTTGAGCCCACAGCCTTCTGACTTGGAGGTTAGACTCTCCAATGTTCCTTACGTTATAGAGAGAATAAATCTGCTTTGTTTCCCCTTCTCACCCGCTCTGTCTCTCCGTCCCTCACCCAGCCTGTTATTGCGATCCTTTTGGAGCTGTTCGGGATGACTGTGAGCAGATGACTGGGATGTGCTCCTGTAAACCGGACATCACTGGGATGAAATGCAACCAGTGCCCTGATGGGAGTAAGATAACCCAGAACGGCTGTGATAAAGGTAAGAGTATTTGGAGAACTTGGCGGGTACTGTAAGGTCTTATGAGCCAAGTCACAGGGCGGAAAATTGGCAGCCACTGATGTGTTTAAATACTGGAAGTCAACGTTACTTGGTGTGATGTTGTCACTGGTTTTATGACCAAATATAGTGGTCAAAGCAGTCAACAGATCGGTTCAGGTTAAAAAAAACTGCATGTAAGGCATTCAAAACATGTGGTTAAACATTGCAACATAAAAATCTGTAGATATCCATCACCGTGGGCATAATCACCAAAATCATTTAGATACAGAAAAGAGATGTCAGTACGTACGTCTGTTTATTCAGCTAGAATTTTACTCTCTCACAGACCCATCCACTTCCAAATCGTGTGCTGATCTTCAGTGCCAGTTTGGAGCAATCTGCGAAAAGGAGAACGAACAATATCATTGTAAATGTCCTCTCTCAGTCTGCCCAGAAAATAAAAAGACCAAGGTAAGAGTTCAGCTTAGCCCAGAGTATTACAGCTCGCAAGAGTGAGCCAAGCCATTCATCGTATATTTGAAGAAGTTCCAGATTTTCATTCAATCCCCGTAGACAAGGGATTGCGGGTTGGCCTAATAGTTCACTTACAATCCTGCGAAGCACTTTGAGACATTTCGACGATGAGGAGAGGTAAATGCTGCCTCACAAGTGCACTCAGCCTTGGCTGTACTACTAATCCGACAGTCGTTGACAAAGTTCACCTATCTGCTGTTTCAGCACACTGTGACTGTGTGATGCCAGCTCTCGCACATCATTCAGACTTAGCACTGAGTCCGTGTTGCGTGACGAACAGTCACAATAGCGACTTTACTCTCTGGTCTGTTTCTAACCTTGGTGCTCAGATCGGTATCTGCAAGTTTCACGGCCCAGTACATTTCATGCTCGATTCACTGTAGTTCTTTGATGTTGTCGTAATAATCCTTGCATTTGATTTAACATCACTGCAAAGCCACAATCTGCTTCTCAGGTTTTTTTTTAACACTGTAAACTATAGTGATCGTGTATTTGTGAGCGGACACAGCAGCTAATCTTCAGGCAGGAGTGTCCCACAGAACAGCCAATTTTACCTGGGGGGGTTGTTGGCCAGAACAGCAGGTGAAACGCCCTTCTCTTTTTGAAAAGTCCCAAATCATCTTTAACGTCCACTTGAACGGGCAGGCAATACCGCGATTTATTGACTCGTGCAAAGGACATCGATTGCAAACGCCCCCCAGGGCTGCACTGGACTGTCAGCTCAAAGTTGCGACTTGAAACTTGAACCACCCAACCTTTTGATTCCGAGGCGAGAGCAGTATCAGGCTGACGCCTCCTGCTCTTGAGTAATATTCTTAAATAATGTAACTGAAGGGAATTGTGTGAGGCCTCTACTTATTTCTCTTCTCCTTAAATCACGTCAGGTCTGCGGCTCTGATGATATAACCTACGCTGATGAATGCCAGCTCAAAACAATTGCTTGCCGCCAGGGCAAAGTGATCACAATTGCTCATCGAGGGTCTTGCCGAGGTAAGGAAGTCCGACAACCTACTCTCCCTTGCAGTGCAATGCTTCCTCATTCTGAGAGAGAGATGGGCGGAAGCTGTGCAGCAGAAATGTGGGAACGTTTGGCAAAATTTAGATTTAAGATCATTGGCAAAAGAACCAGAGGGGAGATGAGGAGAACGATTTTTTTTTACACAGAGAGCTGTTACCGGCTCGAATGGTGGTGGAAACAGATTCAATAACAACCTTCAAAAGGGAATTGTATAGGCACTTGGTAAGGAAAAAAATTGAAAGGGTTGAGGAGGCAGTGGGGGAGTGGAGCTGAATGGGAGTGGGAGCACTTTGGGACGTCCTGCTGATGTGAAAGGGGCTCTATAAATGTAATTTTGTTGTTGTTGTTGTTGTTGATTGGATAGCTCTTCCAAAGGGCTGGTACAGGCACGATGGGCCGAATGGCCTCCTTCTATGCTGTAATGTTCCAGGATTCTATGATTCTATACTCCAGTGCAGTGGATGTAGTCGAACCAAATGTTTAACAATAATTTCATGGGCATGACATCCTTTGGTGATGTTACTGATGACAAATTTCCAGTAACCTCCGTGTCTGTGCATGTATCTATCACCTGATGTAAATGGCGCAGCACGTTAGCAAAGTACTAACCTTGACAGTTGCCCACGGCACAGACATTGCATAAACCTGAATAATGCAGCCGTATAAATGTTGTATTGTACACTTTGGTTTTTAAAATCCAAGACAGAAACTACCTCGGTGAGATTGCGAGGGTAGTCGAGGCTTGAGAAAGCGATTCAGAAATTGCTAGGTGAAGATTTTTGCCTGAGCTGCTTATAAATAGAATTACATTAACGAATACAGCACAGGGATAGGCCATTCTAATCCCCTCACCTGTTCCCCTCTATTCCCTTCTCCCTTAAGTCTACATCATGTTTCCTCTTAAAAACATTGATGCTTTTTGCTTCAACCACAGCTTCCGGCAGTTGCACATTCTCAACACTCTCTGCGTAATGAAGTCCTCCTGAACTCTCTTTTAGATCTCAAGACCCTCCTCTTTGATTGCGCCTTCAGCCACCCTTCTAGCCCTACCCTCCCTTGGGGGTGGGGGAGGGATGGGGGTGTGGGAGGTAGGGGTGAAGAGGGAAGGAATGCGGGGTGCGATATCAGTGCTGATCTGTGTCCTCTCCCGCACCAGGCTCCGTGACCCTAACAACCCATCCTCGCCCGACTCCACCGGCTTCCCATCACACAGAGATACAATTCAAGATCCTGGTCCTCACCTTCAAGCCCTCCATGGTCTTGCTCCCCCCGACCTATGCCACCTCCTAACCCCCTACCACCCTGCTCGCTCCCTCCACTCAGCAGGCTCCAGCCTGCTTCACGACCGCCCCCCCCCCCCACCCCCTTACCCTCCCCACCATTGGCGGGTGGGCCTTCTACCACTTTGCTCCCACCCTTTGGAACTCCAGCGCCTTGGGACGTCCTCCCGATGTGAGAGGGGCTGTGCAAACGTAATTTTGTTGTTGTTGTTCATTATTATATCCAATCATTTGCTACGTTTTTCAAGAATCATTTTCCTCCCATCAACGTTTCATAATCATTTTGTTTACAAAATTGCTTCCAAGTTGCTTGATGCCTCACTGGTGCTGCCGTGAAAGTTCAGTGATCACAAGGTTAAAGACTGGACTCGCAGAGATGTGCTTTTACACAGAAGGTTGTTCATCTGAACAGAGCTTGAAATTCTGATCCAGTTCAAACTCACTCATTCAGTGAATTCAGGGGGAAAGGTGTTTGTTCACTGATGGAGGGGCCAGAGAATGAAGCCTACATTATCTGTATTTCCAGCGAAACCCAGGTTTCCCTGCGAATACACAGTCTCTTATACCCGACAGCAGTTTCCTGTGAAGCGCTCTGAGATGTGCTTTGATTCAATAGGGCTCTGTATCATGTGCAAAGATTGTTATTGACTGCTTTGGTTGCCAGCCATGTGTTTTTCTGAACACCCGTTTCCCGTGATTCCACAGAAACCCTCTTGCCTGTGCCCACAACAAACTATTCGAGAACAACGGTCCCTTCCACCAAGTCGCTCCATCAGATCCCCCGCAAGTTAGATCTCACCACGTCTCCGATTACAGCCACGGGAGGAACCAAAGTGACGACCAGCACCAGGTCCACAGCATCGCCCACGCACACATCCACTCCGGGTTTCCCCAACAGATATGAGCCGCCTGAGCTGTCAGGCAGCGGGGATTACAGCGGTGACATGGAAAGCGACGAGGTTGAAGAAAGTGGTGATGGAGCGAGCGGAGTGGAGACTTCAGGTAATCTCATGGATTGACAACCCGCAGTGCAGTGCAGTGAGGCAGGGTCAGTTCAGTGGCCTGTTTGGTGTTTAACCGATTGATTGGACCTGAATGAGGGAGAGTCGTTGGACTGACCTGTTGTTTTGGTTCGTTTACGAAAAGCTGGTATTCTGCTAACCAGCAGACAGCGGGGACACAGGTCACGGTATAATGGATCCTCACCACCGAGCATGGCTTGGGTGGGGGTGGGAGAAGGATCCATGATGTATCTTGTTAAAGCCCCTTCTCTCTAATGTATTTGTATTGTTAATATCCTTCGCAATTATGTGAAGCGATGTTTATAAAAATATTGATTGCTTCCCTATCAGTACATCCGTCAAGTACATCTGTCATTACTGAGTTTGTTAGGGTTGAATAAACAACATTGAGGAGATGTAACGAATAGCAGGCAACATCGGGAGAGGAGTATTGTTTAGTGCCTTGTTACAGTTTGCTCTAGGTCTTTGATTCGTCTCGAAGACGTGATAAGGCGCTGTATCAAATACAAGGATTGTTATTATTATTATTCTTACAGGTGAAGACGAGCCTGTAATTATTGCCCCGACAGCTGTTCAGATTGAACGGTCTTCCTGTGATAACACAGAGTTCGGCTGTTGTCCTGATGGAAAGACACCCTCCGATGGTGAGGGAAGCAACTGCCCAGGTAAGTGCCTCCGAGAATACGAGGCCTAAACCTCTAGACAGATTGATCGGAGTTGATCGGTTCCTGATCTGCAGTATTCGTCAGGGATCGTGGCCAAATGACTTGTTACCAGCATCTCACTAAATGGACCCTGTGTGTGAGGGTGTGTGTGTGTGTGTGTGAGAGTGAGAGAGGGTGTGTGAGGGTGTGTATGTTTGTGAGGGTGTGTATGTGTGTGTGTGTGTAAGGAAAGTCCCCCAAAAATCCATATCACCAGTAGAAGAGAAAAAAGAGAATGTTTCGCCCACAAAATAACAGTCAATTCACTTTACAGTATATTCTGTGAAGCGCTTTGAGACGACTCGGAAGATGTGATAGGGCGCTATGTCAAATGCCACGACCCCCCCCTGAGATAAATCCTATTTAGTTGCAGTCATGAGCAAACCCACCTGCACTCAGTAGCTGAGAGGAATTCACCCTTTATTCTGTAGAATCGTTTCTTGACGGTTTAACCCTATCCTCTCTGACCTACTTTCTCTTTTTCTACTTAACCTCTTCTTGCTAACCTCAACAGGTTGGAGCTGTGGAGCAAAGCGAATGGTAACATCTGGTATTTATGGCTTCATGCTACCAAACCAAACCTGCCTCACTCATGTCAACATTCCCCTCCTCCCACCCCCAACCCCACTTCCCTAAATTTACACCGTGCTACTAATTCAGAGATTCTCTCATCCTACTAATCCCAAGACTGGCACTACCAATCATTTACTTTCAAACCACACAGTGATGCAAACTTGCTCAACAAAGCTGCCTCTGGCATTGATTAACGCCGGGTGATTTTGTCTCCCAATAGCCACTAAGGTGTTCCAAGGGGTTCTCATTTTGGAAGAGGTTGAAGGTCAGGAACTGTTCTACACCCCTGAGATGGACGACCCCAAGTCTGAACTATTTGGTGAAACCGCCAGAAGTATTGAGAGTGCTGTAAGTGGTTTCTGTTGACCGATGAACTGTTCTCCGGAAGTTTTAAGTTTCTCGGGAAGTTGGGAGACGTACGCAGAGTGCAGGGTAAGGAACATGGGAGGAAGACGGTGAAAGTAAAGTAAGAAGCTGGCTGGGGTATTCTGTGGAGTTGAGGGTTTTTCAGGATTATGAAGTCATTTGACAAAAGAGTTTACTCCCCACCCACCCCCCACCCCTGGTAAGCCAGTCGATCATGAGAGGACATTTGATTGCACGGCATTCAGACTCCCACAATATGCACTTGTCTCAGTTAACTTTGTAGTTCTTAAAAGAACTTACACTTACCTAAATGGTTTCCAAATGAATACTGGATGCGCCAAGCTCCGCACACTCTGAAACGTTAAGGGAATAGAGTTAATCTTGAGCCGGGAGTGTGACTTTCTCTTGATTGCTTGTACACGATTTCTAATATACGCGATTCATTCCCACGTTTCCAGCTCAACGAACTCTTGGGGAATTCAGACGTCAAGAAAGATTTTAAGAGCGTCCGGGTTCGTGGTCTGGGCCCAAGCAACTCTGTGCGCACCATCATAGAGTTTCATTTTGATCCAAGTAAGTGGATGAGTCTTGACGGCCTGATCCTTGTGTCTGAGCACAAAAGCAGTCAGGAGCTTCAGTCACTGATTCGGCTTTTGCTGCATATGTTTCAGGGATAAAACTGAATTTACATGTCCCATCAATGTTAACTTCGTAATCCCTCCAGGAACAGCCTACGCCTCCCACGATGTACAAAAGGCTTTGCTACAGCAGATGAGGTTTTCAAGGAAGAAGTCCATAATTGTGAAGAAGCCGGAGCAAGACAACATCAAGATCATGGACTTTGGTAATCATACTTCTCCTTTTTATTGTTATTATAATATAAATGATCATTATAATAATAATGATGATGCTTTATTTGATACAGCACCTTATTGCATCGTCGAGGCGCCTCAAAGCGCTTCACAGCGTGTACTGTAAAGTGTAGTGACTGTGTGTTTTGCGGGAGACTCGGCAACCGTTTGTTTCCTTTGCTGTATTGCAGACTGGGCCCCCGTGCTGTTCACCACCACCACCACCACCACAGCGGCCACAACACTGCTGGCGACGACGGTCACAACCTCTCTGGCGACCGCACGCAGACCCACCACGGCGCGTCTCACCACCAAGCGCCCAGCCACCACGAGGTGGCCCGTTGCCGCCCTGCAGACACAGCGACCCACCACCACCACAACTCTCGCCGCCCCGACCACAAAGGCTAACAGCCCCAAGAGGCTTCAGGTCAGCGGGAAAGACCGGGTCAAACCAGCGACCAGCAGACGTTCCAAGCCTTGCGACTCTCAGCCTTGTCTCCACGGGGGCACCTGTGAGGACGACGGGAAGGACTATACCTGCAGCTGCCCGGCTGGAAAGGGAGGAGCCGTTTGCGAACGATGTGAGGAATTCTAATGGGCTTCGGCTGCTCTGCGCTGTAACTTTGAGGGCAAAGAGCTGTGGGCGTGGAATCAAAGGAAATGAAAGAGAGAGGTGGTTGGAGGTCAGAAAGCAAAGAGCAAGGGGTGAACAGGATGTTTCTCAGACTGGGATAATGTCCTGAGTGGGGGTCCGGCTTTGTTGGAGCTGCTCTTGTTTACTTTGTACATAAAGTGATCTGGATTTGGGAATTGAGGCAGTAATATCAAAATTCATGATGACACCAAATTGGGGGGAGGTTGGTGGGGGGCGCTGGCAAAATGTGATAAAGATTGTGAAAGATTGCAGGAGCGTACAGATAGGCCTGCAGGTGGGAGGAGAGGTGGCAAATGCAGTTCAATGCTGAAAAATGTTTCTACGATCCCATCTGGCACTCTCCCGCTACATGACCAAAGCAACAGGAGTCGGGTAGTTTTAAGCAGTTTGAGCCTTGATTCTGACCTGCCTGATCCTGAGTGGGGGGGGGAGTAGAGTGCAATTGGGGTAAAGCTGAGAGCCAGGTGCCAATATGGTGTTGAACTGAGGCTTCCTCGCTGTAGGGGAAGAGCTGGGGAGGAAAAATGTACTTGTAGCCGGACCAAAATAGTTTGAATAAGAACTTCTCACTCTATACTTTGAATCCCTCCTAATGCTCTGTTCGGAAGTCAGACCGTCCGTTCAACTGTACTGAAGATGTCCTTTCTCTTCAACAGCCATTGTTTATTATTTGCCGGAGTTTGGAGGAAAGTCTTACCTGGCTTTTAACACGATGAAGGCTTACTACACCATGCGGATTGGCATGGAATTCCGTGCCTCGGACATGGACGGAATCCTGCTGTACAACGGCCAGAAAAAAGGCAAAGATTTCATTTCTCTGAGCCTGGTCAGGGGCCACGTGGAGCTTAGGTAAAACTGCGAGGTTCATAGCGAATGGGTGATACGGGATGATTCAAAATGCGTGCGTCTGCCTGGCTCAGTTGGTAGCGCTCTCACCTCCCGAGTCCAGAAAGTTGCGGGCGTTAACGTTCGCGTGGCGCTGTTCGAAACGAGGAGAGTTACTCCCCGTGTCCTGGCCAAGGGTTTCCGAAATAAAGTTGGTTCGTTCACTCACTCCGTGACTGCCACATTTGCCCGCAGACCACAGTCACTGCCGTATACACTGCACCCCGTGCAGCGCTTTAGGATGTCCTCCTCACGTGAGGGGCGCTGACCCGAATGTAAGGATTATTCTTGTTGTTATGACGATTGAATAGCTAGCGACAGGTTAAGCTTGTCTCTCTCCTCTCCCTGTCTCAACTCGTGAAGGTTCAACACCGGGTCTGGGGTCGGTATCATCACTAGTAAATCCCGAATAACGCCTGGCAAGTGGCACAAAGTCATCGTGAATCGGAGCCGTCGCAACGGGATGCTGTCGGTGGACGGGGAGCCACACGTGAACGGGGAGAGCCCTCCGGGAACCGACGGACTGAACTTGGACACCGATCTGTACCTCGGAGGAGCTCCAGAGGATGAAATGGCATCGTAAGTGCCAGCTTTCTATACAGGAGCAGAAACGTCATTCGACTACGAAATGTCGGGTTGTTTGCTGAGGAAGGACACGGAAACCGGAGGCCGGATGAGGAGAAATGTTTTTTTTAAACAGAGAGTTTTTACGGTCTGCAATGCGCTGCCTGAAACGGGGTGGGGGGGGGGTTGCGGCGGTGGGGGGAAAAAAACAGATACAATCACAACTTTCACAAGGGATTTGGATAGGTACTTGAAGAGGAAAAATTTGCAAGGATTTGAGGGGAAAGAGTTGGGGGTGGGGGTGATTGGGTAGCTCTTCCAAAGAGCTGGCGCAGGCACATCGACCGTCTTTTGTTCTGTAAAATTCTCTGATTCTATTCCTCTGGATTTTAAGAAGCTGCTCTTTCCCCCCACCACCCCCACCCCCCAGTGTCGCTGAAAGGACGTCAGTGGCAAAGGGACTGAAGGGCTGCATCCGGCTCCTGGGTGTGAATAACCTGGTGTACGACCTGCAGGGGAGCAGCAGCGACGTCCTGTACGGCAGCAGGGTTGGCGAGTGCGGAAACAACCCCTGCCACCCCAACCCATGTAAGAACAACGGCATTTGCCGGGTGAAGGAGGCAGAGATGTTCCACTGCGAGTGCCTCGAAACGTTTTCAGGTAACCACCATTCTGCCGGCCTGCCTGCCTGCCTGCTGATGTAGTATGACAAAGTGGCTGTCGAGACTGGGTTAATAGATTTACTCGAAGGGGAGAATTGGAGAAGAAACCGCTAAGTAAAATGCTGAAGGGATATAATAATAATATAATAATAATAATAATCCTTTGCACTTGACGCAGCGCTTTTCACGCCTTTGATGCAGGGAAAGAGCTGGATAACAAAGAAAAGGCTAAAATTAAATTTTAAGACTTAAAAAAGAACGGTGAATTCAAATCAGTTCTAAGCGGCTAACGATCAAAAGGGGGATCACTGCCTCTTTATCACAATTTAAAACAGGGTCAGAATAAGTTCTGCGAGGACTGGGGCACGAAACCAATCTCCCGAGATGATTGGGAGGGGGAATTGCAGGGAGGTGTTTATTCCAAAACTTGCCCTTAAGGACACAAAGCTCCTGTATGCCCTGTTCATCTGATCGTACGTGTTATCACATGTTATCCCATGTGCGTGCAGCCCTGAGTCGCGCAGGTTTCGATTGCAAGATGTTGCGGCTAACAGCAGCTTAATTCTATTTGGCGGTGCATTCTTTCAGGACCTACCTGTGCCGACGAGCACAACCCCTGTGACCCCAACCCATGCCATCCATTGGCCACTTGCCTGGTGCTGCCCCAGGGTGGGGCGAAGTGTGAATGCCCGATGGGGCGCGAGGGAGAGTTGTGCGAGAGAGGTAAGACGCGTGAGCTTTCAAAGCACCTTCCATTTAACAGTCGGCAGTCCGGAGCTTCGGGTTTACGTGGTTCACTCAGGAGAAGTTTTATCGGAAGCTGATGTGTAATGAACCTGAGGTTGCGTGTGGCTGGAAGGAATACTTAATTTCCAAACGGAATAGCACGTGCAGCCCGTCAGCGCAGACCGGACGGTACCTTTACACCGGGGTGAAAGGCCGTTGCTCCTAACTGGACGTTGAAAGGAGAGGGTAACTGACTCCTTAGGTAGGGGATCAATGGCTCAAACAGGGAATCGTGCCCGTTGGAAATACTCGGGACGGGAGCGTTTGGGTCTGGCTCCATCCGAGCGGAGCCCCCCCCCACCCCGGCTGAAACGTGGCTGCTGCAGTTCGTTCCTGAGCCAGCAGGTGGTGCTCGAAGTCTTTTCAGTCGTGTCTTCAGTTGACGTCAACGTGTGAGAGCCACATCCTCGCTCTTCCGAATCAGCCCTCGGCGGCGAGTGGCGGGTGGGCACGGACGCGTCTGCGTTCTGACGCACGGCCCGTGGACCCGAAAGGCCGGCTCGCTTTCCTCGCTCCCATCGATGCCGCCCTGACCCGCCGAGGGCTGATATGTCTGTCGGTGGAACGTCAGAAACGATGGCGCAGCCGGGCTGGCTCATCAGCAGAACCTGGAAGGGCAGGCCAGTCACTGGGGACAGTGACTCTTCCCACTCAGCTCCCATTAACCCTGTAAGCCATTGGCACGAACAGGTAGGGTGGTTCCGAGCTGGACAAGCAGCAGGAAAGCTGGCCAGGCAGCCCTCTCAATGACGAGCTATGAGGTTAGACTCCCAACAGTGCCTCAACTCTGGGGTCCCAAAGCCTTGGCTGTTGAGAACCTGCGCCTAATACTTTGCAAGAATTAGGTACGCAGGATGCATTCCATTCCGACAAATACCTCTGGGATTTCCATGTTTAGGTGGGAGGCATTGAACTCTCAATTTGGTTTGGCTACTCTTAAGAATGGTGATGGGCTTCCGCGTGTGTCAGACGCTCGGCTGACCCCCAAAAGTTCTAACGGGCTCATTGAAATGAATACCTGGCTGATTCATCGCTCACTGGCCCTGAGCCCGGGCTGAGATCATTCTAAGTCAGGGATTTAACCTGGGACTTTCCTGGTTTTGTATCACGTTACACGCATCACATTAGTGGATCTTTACCCACCAAGTCATCGGGTGACCTCTCTGTATTCAATGTACTCAAGAGGATATTTTATTTCATTGAATTCCGTTGCTTCTGCTTTCGCAAAATAATCTTTTCAAGGTTTGTGGGTTTAAATCAAACCCTACACTAGGTTTGCCGTTCTGGTACTTACATTTACCTCTTTCCCTTTCTATCAGAAGCTGAGCAGGACAAGGCCTCTACCTTTATCCCCATGTTTAATGGTTTTTCGTACATAGAAATGAATGGAATCCACACGTTTGTCAACGACTTACTGTGAGTATAACTGACAAACTGCTCAAGTTACTGTCGGGTACGAGGAGGGAATTGGAAGCAAGATCTCTCGGACAAGTGTGGTTGTGCTTTTATTTGCAGATGTTTCATCCCCTGAAAGAGGATGTTAAAATTACGTGGAAAAAATACATTTGATACCAGATTTGATGGGATAATTACCCCCACTTCAACAGAATGTTTGGCCCAAAGCTATTCCAGACTGACACCACCATTCTGACTTGCCACTTTCGTCCGAGATTCTTGATCCCGATCCTAGTGTTTGAGGGGCCACTTTACAGGGGATCGATCGAGTTCATCCGGTGTCTCTTGAGCCCGCATTCAAGCACTTCAATCAAAAGCAGCAATAGTAGCATTTAACATTTCAAGGCCAACCATTGTGCCAAAGTGGTGGTAGTCAGGGTGGGGAGGAGTTGAATTCGAGTTGAAAACCTCTCATGTGGCCCTTTGGAACAGCAGGTTCAAGAACCGCAGTAGCTCATTTTTCAGTCGATATGAAAAGAATGATTTTATATTCCTCACTCGAACCTGGATTAACTTTGGTAACACGATTGTGGTGAAAATATCCCGGTTTAAACTTCTTAGTGATGTCCACGCAGTTCAAGCTTTACTCTCTGTTGCCTTTTCACGCTCTCTAATCCTTCCACTTGACGGAAAAGCTGACGTGGCTGTGGCTCTTCCTGAAGTTTTAGTTACATGAACTTTCTAGAAGTTATGATGCAAATGACCTTTTTTCTTCAATTATTGTCAAAGAAACCGGGGCATCCAATAGATCACCAGGGCCTCCAAGTCAGGTTGTCCAACCACAAATGTTTAACAGAGGGCCAGGTTTTGAACTTTGTCCCATTAAATATTAACTGCACGCTTGAATGGAAATTTTCTACATAGAATGAGGCCAATGCAGCCCAGTCTAGGGCTAGGTATCGCACTGGGGGAGGAAGTGGAAATCTAGAGTTGATCTGAGAGGAAATAGGCATCTGCTTGTTAGTGCGACTGTTAGTGTGACCCGTTCCTCCGGGTCTGGCCTCCTCCTTGTCCCCCTTAGTCCTCCGCTCCACCCTCGGCGGCCGCGCCTTCAGCCGCTACGCCCCGAGGCTCTGAAATTCCCTTCCTCACTCCCTTCGCCTCGCTCCCTCCCTTCCTATTTTCAGGTCCCTGCTGAAGACCTTTCTTTTCGACCGGGCCTTTGGTCACCTTCCTCCCCAACCCCTGTGAAGCGCTCTGAGACGCCGTCCGGCGTGGAGGGCGCTATATAAATCCAAGTTGTTGTTGTGACTACATGTGATGTTTGGTTACAGTCAGGTGCTATCGATGGAAGTCATCTTCTTGACGAAGGATCTCAATGGAATGATATTTTACAACGGCCAGAAGACTGATGGGCGTGGGGACTTTGTGGCATTAAATCTGCACGACGGTTACTTGGAGTTTAAGTACGATCTCGGGAAAGGACCAGCAGTTATCAGGTAACGCTGTACATCTTATAATGTATTAATGTGTTGCGTGAATTTCATGTGGGGTAGTGTCTTGGAGCCCTGCTGTGTACTGCACATATTAAATTACTTTGCATGTACATTGTGAAATCCAAATCAGTTTTATAAAGACAGGTTCACAGCTGTGTATCTCAACCTTTTTGGTAGCAGACAACCTTTTTGGTATTCTACTTAAAATGTGGCTTATTAGCTCATTCAATTTAAACATGTCTCTGAGGTAAGTAAAGTCATTGATGAACATTGATACAAAATACAGTTAAATCTAGGTCATGATTGCTTCGCAGTTTCTCTTCTTCATTAGCAATGCTGTAAAATATTATGATCAACTTATGTTTGACGTTTAACCTTTTTGTTTTTCCCCTTTATTACAATAGGAGTAAGGAACCCATCAAACTGAACACTTGGACCATTGTCACCGTTGAACGAAGTGGAAGGAAAGGCTCGATGAGCATCAATAAGGGTGAACCAATCATTGGTGAATCCCCGGTAGGTAGAAGAGTAGACTTTCGAATCATCCGTTGACGGTAGTGAAAGGTCCTGGTCTGTTACATGACACCCACGGGATCTTTGCTGCAGTTTGTGCACATATTGCCATGGCACTTACAGATCTTCTCTGATAATCCTAACAGAGTATTGACAACCTTTTAAGCCCCTGGTGCATTTAGGTACAAACTTCTTCATTAAAAGCCAAGAAGTCTTGAATGTGTAGACAGAGGAAAATTCAAACAATGTAGTTAAAACAGGGACTTATTCCACGGTTAAGTAGATAAGCCATTACTTTGACTCACTGCTGTTTATTGTGGTTGCTTGCTCTGGCCTGTTTTACAATTCATTGCCTGAAGCACTTTTCATCTCTCGAAGCAGCTTGAAATTGAAATTGTAAAAGGATCTTTGGAGCTGTTTTACCGTCATTCGTGTTCTCTGTGGATGTTCTCCTGCTCACACGCATGCAGACATCTATGACACCGGGCAAGGCTGACTACCTTTGGATGTGGGCAATGATCCCTATATCTCGCATTTCCTCTCAGTGCTTCACACTAATTATGGATGTCGGCAAAAGCACAAAGCAGGCAGTTTTCAAATATTTATTGCCGCTGATGTTTCTCAAAAGCTCAGCTAAATAAACCCGTTTTTGAGTCCAGCCGGGGACGTAAACAGAACAAGTTTTCAGAGGATAGATTGTGACAGGAAACTAGGTAACCAAATGGGGAATGTTAAAACAAATGTCATCATGTAGAGGGTTATCGGAATAGGCAACGCTTTGCCCAAATAGCTAATGAGGTTGAGACCAAAACAATTTGAAGGGAATTGAATAAATATTTAAAGAGGAAGAATATAAAAAAGATATGGGAAAAGTGCAGGGAATTAGTGGAGCCAGAAAACTGACTTCAAAATGTTTTAAAATGCTACATAAATAAAGTAAATCTCGACCCGGGTGAATTTCACCCCAAAATTAGTATTAAAAGGTAACTCATAGGTAGGTGTGGGGTACCTATTGGGATCTCTCGTTTAGGGGTCGGGTTCCCTAATGTTGGAGCGATGTGCGTGACGTACATCCAGGAATTTGAATCTGAAGGCAAACAGCTGCCAAAACCACAGCAATTTGCTACGGACCGGCCAGTAAAGACCAATTCGGTTCTTTGCGAGACCTTTTCTGATGCAAAAGAACAGAGAGAGGGAGAGGAGAAACCAAACACCTCCTCCCTTTAGTGAGGGATTGGTGTGAGATCAGTGTGTGGGGGTGCTTTCTGGGGCTAGTTTGATCTCTAAGAGTCGAGTGAATGTCAGCTCTGAGATGCCGGATGTGTAGGCAGGGGATGTACGCAGCAGGGACTGAACAAAGCGAAAAGAATCAGCAGACCCCAGCACCCTCGACACCTGCGCCAGTGCCATCAGATAAGTGTTCACATATCGACAGGGCAGCGAAGGAAAGCAGCGAGCAGCTTCTCACAACGCCTGATATTAAGAGTTACTGATATTTGCAGCTTTAGCAAGTGTGGGTTATCAGCCGGTAACCAGGGTTAGCTATCAGCGCTTGCTTCCCAGTCGCTTGTTCAGGTATCGAGGGTTGTGCAGCGTTTGGGGGAGGGGGAGGAGGAGGAGGAAGTTGTTATGAATGCAGCGCGAGAGAGTCCTGTGGTACCTGTCAGCGTCAGCGCACACTTCTGCTCGCTCCTGCAGACTTGTCCTGCAGACTGCACAGCAAGCGGCAGTGACCCAAAGCAGAAGGAAAAACTCCCTTTTTTTTTTCCTCTCCTCTTTCCCTTTCTCCCCCCCCACCCCCCCCCCCCGCACCACCTACTGTAATCACACATCACTTAGCAGCTGCTGTCTGAGGACATTAAGTAGCGGTCACTCTCTCTGCTCACGCACATTATGACCTTAATAAATGTGATGATTTTGAAGCTAACCACACTGTGGGTAATTGTGGCTTCACTCACAAATACTTGTGGTGAATGCAGCTCTCTCCACTGTGTCCTCGCAGCAAGTCATTAAGCTGTCAACGCTCGTGGTTTAATCAGTGTGTTTAACATGTGTTTCTTACTCTGCTCCTGACTGATATCCTTCTTCTCTCCCGTTTCTCTGCTTGGTCTGATCTGCTTTCTGGATTTAAGAAATCGCGGAAGGTAAACATTAAAAAAAAACAGAAACTAAACATCGACTTCATCATTCAATCATTCCTCCAGTGTTGTTTCCATCCTCAGACCATTTTATTCCATGGCTAAACTAGATGTAGCAATAGAAGGTGTAGTTACTCCATTATTTAACTTCCCAGAATTCAGTCCCATCAAATATAACAGTTACGTGGATCAACTGGAGGGAAACCTTCGTTGCAAAAGGTGTCTGTGGATGTCTCCACGGCCACTGAGCTTCAGGTTGGGAGACGATGGAACCTTTAAGACGTGTCTCAGTGGTGTGATGAATGGCGATGCTGGGATTATAATGCGGTCTAATTTGTGGTATTACTAAGGAATCCACAGATTGCCACAGACATGACAATTTCCATGTTGCTAGCGATTCCTTCCCATAATTGGAAACAGACGATATAAACTCTGCGCCAACACAATTCTCCGGCGCGGGGATCCCTTGGGTTGGGTTAACACACAATCTCACGCAAAGTATAAACTCAAATTTTGATTTTAGAAGGTGATGGAGAAAATTGCGGGTGGAGAATCCGATTAAATAAAACAAACGTGTTTTTTTTTTTAATCTCTGCCTTCTCTGCTTTATTTGCACCCTGTATCTACACGCTTTCCCCGGTTCCACCTTCCAACGTGAAGCCCATGGTCCTGGATCAGATGCAGATGCCTCTGTTTTCATCCCTTTGTGGTGTTGCACACGGTTTTGTTTGATCAGCGCAATACAGCGCTGTTTTCTGGGCTGGGGTCGGCTCTCAAAAGAATTACAAACTTTGGGGCAAAAGCGGGAAATAACCTTTCTTTTTTTAGAAACAAACAAAAGGGCAAAATACTGCAGATGCTGGAAATCTGAAATAAAAACAGAAGTGGCTGGGAACAGGCAGCGTCTGTGGAGGGAGGAAAATGAGTTAACGTTTCAGGTCGATGACCTTCCGTCAGGACTCTTAACAAATGTCCTGCTCTCGTCTACGAATGAGAACAACCGTATTTGCAGTCCCGCTTTACCAGATGCCGGGGTCGATTTTAAATTTGTTGCCGTTGCCTCGATCAGCTGGCCTGAACACGTTTCTTTGCTGGTGAAATCTGAACCGGAATTTTAAGCAAGAACGGCAGCTGTCAGCTGGTATCTGCACAGGGGACTTTATCCCATTTTTGTTTGCTGGGGGTGGGTGGGGAGCGTGGGTGGGGTGTAGCTGGACGATTTAGCACCTTCCAAACTCGCCCTCGTCCCCGCAGACTGCCTGCCAACTGATATCCATATTTATGTTGGGGGGTGGGGGTGGGGGGGGGGGTTTCGGAGCACCAGGACGCTTTGTAAGTTCCCTTTTGATATTAACAGATAAATATGTAGGTTTCGCCCTTGTTAATTGGGGGAAATTCACCGCCATTTTTTAAATAAAAAGGGCATCAGAAACAGGCTTTAGTAACATCGCGCTCATACATGGCGTTGCTGTGGAGTTCGGATATCCAGTCACATTCCAGTTCAGTCATTTGGGTGAAAATTCCAACATGCTGCATGTTAATTAAAACCGATGGAGCTAATTAACACATTGTTGAAAAAAAGCAGCCAGTTGATGTGTTAAATTATCGATTGGTCTGCCAGTAAATTGGAGACCGCAAACTCACCGACCAGTCAATTTCACTCTCCGCCTTGACGATTTTTCAGTGCATTCATTAGCACTGTGGGTGTTCATTAATACCGTTGGTGTTCATTAACACATCACGTGTTACAGTTTTCACCCGAGGTTTTGGTCAGAATTTCTATTTTGAGCTTCGATTTTTCAAAATAAGACATCAGGCTTTTGTTAAGTCTCCTGCCCCCAGCAACGCCAACTCTCTCGACTCGTACATTAATCCTCCATTGCGGGCTTGCACAGCTAATAATTGTGGTGGCATCTTAAAAGTCAGTCCGACAGGCTCGACAACGTTACTGTATGAAATGTGATGTGCAGCGTGTGTTACGCGAGGGCCGTTGGAGTGATGGACTGATTTTAGTTGCGACGTGCTTGGCCGCTTGTTTCACACCTGACGCCAGGTTATTTGACAAATTGACTTCTCAGTAAAACGGTAGTTTAACTGTGATGATGTGCTTTGTCTCAAGGTTCCGCACACAGCGTTGAACCTCAAGGAACCCTTGTACGTGGGTGGTGCACCAGATTTCAATAAGTTTGCCCGAGCAGCCTCTATCACCTCAGGCTTTGACGGAGCCATTCAGAAGGTAAGTCTAATTGGGATCTAGCAGCTTCGCCCGTGAAACAGGCTATAATCTGGGAATGTATAGAACCTGAGGACCAAGAGCTGAGTAATTGGCTTGAAGTCCCCAGTTCATAAAGAGGCCCCTCTTACTATGTATTGGTTGAACTCAGGCTGTTTATTCGATGGAATTTGGGGTCTGTGATGTGTCAATTAACACTGAAGAATGTGATCAATTGACAGCTTCGTGTCGTGAATGTGACTCTTGCCTTTTTCCCCCTCCCTTCCCTCCCATCGCAAGCACTGGAGGGATAGCAACTTACCTCTACTAGAATAAAGCCCGTGTCTTGCTAACCAGCAACCTCTCTAATGCCTGCCATTCGGTGCACACTACAGCTGCCTTTGTGACGGAGTCGGGGTAGAGTCACATCTGTAGAACCATCGATAAATGAAACAGCGGTTTGACCGGCCGCGTTTCGCAACGCTATTTAAAACTGAGTGATAACCCTTTTTTTTTTTCCCTTTTCTTCCTTTGTACCAAGCTCACGATCAAATCCATTCCGCTCCTTAAAAAAGAAAACATCCGAAAAGCCATGGAGATCTCCAGCTACCCCGTTCACCCTTGCACAGCCAAGCGCAGTCCTTGCCAAAACGGTGGAATTTGCAATCCCAAACTGGATGACTACGAGTGCTTGTGTCAGCGTGGGTTCTCGGGGTCCCAGTGTCAGAAAGGTACAGTGCCCACGTTTTGTAATTTGAGATGTTTTGAAACAAATGAGCTATGTTATTTAGTTCCAGTCAGCTGGATTTCTGACACGCGGGGACACCCATCATCGCGCGCATAAGAGTATCCAAACCAGACTGAGCGTTTCGCATGTTCGTATATAAATATATAATAATAATAATCCTTACATTTGATATAGCACTTTTCAAGTCTCTCGTCGTGTCTTAACTAATCTTTTAGAGTGTTTTGAAGGCGTATCTAGCAGGTTAGATAGGGGGGAACCAGTAGATGTAGTATATTTAGATTTTAAAATGGCATTTGACAAAGTGCCGCACCAAAGGCTATTGCACACGGTTAAGGCCCTTGGGATTAATGGGAAAATATTAGCATGGATTGAAGAATGGCTAATTAGAGTTAGGTCTGAAGATCAGCCATGATCTTATCAGATCCGAATGGCCTACTCCTGCTCCTGATTCTTATCTTCTTATGCTTCACAGAATATACTGTAAAGCGAATTGATTGTATATTTGTGGGTGAAACGCAGCAGCCAATTGCACAGAGCAGTGTCCCACAAACAGCCGTGGATTGAAGTGACCCATTTCATTATTGTGGGTTTTTTCTTGAGGGATTATTATCAGGCATGTGTGCGTGTGGAGTAAGGAAACTTGCCCAAGGTTTTGCCCTGCCGGGAATCAAACCCAGGCCTCTCGCTTGCAAGGCAAGTGCTCTAACCACTGAGCTACAGGACTCATGTACCCTCTGCAAAGAAATTTCCCTGCATCTGGAATGGAATAGAATAGAGTAAAATAAAGCAAATGTATTTATTTAATTTAGTTCGAGACGATGATTCGTCCCTCCGATAGAAGGATCCAAAACAGTGGTCTGAAAGTTTAGAGTTTAGCCGGTTCGGTATTGAGATTGGGGGGAAACCGGTGACATCAGCAGCGATCTGACAACTGCGAGGTTAGTCATTTTTCCACACTTCGCTTTCGCTTCTAACATGCTCAGTGACACTGGATCCAGCCAACCGTGTTATAAGGTTTCTCTGCATCATCAGAAGCAAAGGACTATCATGTGCCGACCGTTAAAAATAGAGATCGTGTTGTTACTTGTTTGTAAGCTATTTTAACGATGGGTGCGTGACAGACCCCGGTGTGGATGAAGCCTGCCATTTGGGCTTTCTGCAATTGGCTAGGCGCAGTTGTATGATTTTCATGTAAATGGTTGCCGTTTGGAGTGGCTGATTGACTGAAGCAGTTGTCAGCAGTAAATGGCATTCAAGCAAAATGTTTGTCATTACATGGCTGAACATTAGTCGCCTTCTCCAGACTCGATGGTGACAAAGTTCACGAAAATCAAGAGGAACTACTCACTTAAGTTCCTCCCTTCCTCTCCCAAAGGCAGTGACATGATAGCTGGACACTTGAGGAAAAAGCTAGGGTACAACCACTGGCAGTTAATGTGGTAACTAATTCAAGTGACAACCTGCGGCACATTGACCTAGCAATGGTCAATTCACTTTACAGTATGTTCTGTGAAGCGCTTTAAGGCGTCTTGAAGACGTGATAAGACACTGTATCAAACGCAAGGATTATATTGTACTCATTCAGACCTCACATTTTAGTGGCCAGGTTGACCTATTTGGCAGCTCTCACCTCTGAGCCAGAACCATCTGTGGTTGTGGATTCAAGACCCACGTTTGGACTTGAGCTCATAGTCTAAACCAGGGGTGGCCAACGTGCAGCCCATGAGCCTCAGCTTGACCATCCCTGGTCCAGACTGTCGCTCTTGAGGGGGGCTCGGAGAGTGCCGCCTGGTCCGAGTTGCCGTCCTTTAATGACATCTTGAGGTGGATGTTAAAGGTCCCGTCGCACTGTTCGAAAAGCAGTGGTTCGTTACTGCTGTGTTCGGCATTTCTGCTGTAACTCAGCGGTAATTTAAGCCCATGCTCCGTTACCTTATTTCTGGCCTTCGTGTTGCCAAGGATACAAATGACTTGTTTTGAGTGCGTGTCTACACAGGCCCACAGGCAACTGCAGTCATGTCATAAGCTACTTAAAGCTATGACTTAAGACTTATTGATTGTGACATTTTACAAGGTAACTAATTATATACGTTCGCTCTCAGAATTGGAAATCAAAGTCTTCCAAATATCCCTGAAGGTGTCTTCATTTTTTCCCCCCAACAACTGAAAGTGGAACTTGCTGGTCACGTGAAGCTAATTGTGGAAAATGTCTTTTTCCATCTCTACAGCACTTGAGGAAAAAGCAGCAGGAGAGAGTGAATCTATAGCATTTAATGGCCGAACATTCATAGAATATCACAACGCAGTGACAAAGAGGTAGGTCGTTATGTTTGACATGTAGATTGGTTGTTGATCTAATGTAAACATTGACACAGTGTAAAACGCTAATTGTAATGTAAGACCTATTTGACCAAAATGTTGTTTCTCCCCAACTTTAGGCTTCTCTATACCACTCCTTCCCTAATTGAGATGGACAAAAGACCTGCCCTTAGGTTGCTGACATCAAATTTAATGGCACGCACTGTGAGGCATTTGAGAATGGCCAACAAGACAATAGTTGCCACTATCCCTATGATATCTTTCAATCTCCAAACCTCCTACTTAACACTACAGAAATTGTGGAACAAATGGCCAAGTTAAGCTCCAAATCAGTGTACCTTTAGCAAAGACATGTGTAATAGATGGCTGACACTCATAAGGTCCTTGCGATGCTATATAAATATAAATTTGTATTGTAAGGTGGACACGAGTTGTTTAAACACTCTAATTCCTCTCTCCTGGGCTTTCTCCATCCTTTTTTTTGTGTTGTTGCTCTTCAGATGTTTCTCTAATTTTCTTTTAAATGTTGTCCTGGTCTCAGCTTCACTTGTGGAAGAGCGTTCTGTGCTCAATTAGTGCTTTGCATGAAAAGATTTGTTCAAATTTTCCCATTAATCCATCCAGTGACGATCCTGGTTTTATACCCTTCAACCAATTGACCCACAAATGGGAATCATTTTTCACTATTTATCTTCTCAAAACCTTTCTGAATTATAAAGATCTCCATCAGATCTCCTTTATTCTCCTCTCTTCCAATGAAAATGGTCTCAATGCTTATAGCCTAACCTCTAACTAAAAGGCCTAGTATGTGTTACTCTGGTGATGCATCAAACTCCTATTTCTGCAGCCCTCTGACCAAGGCCTGCAAGAGGTGAGGAGGGTTCAAATATCAGGCTGAGGTTCAAAGTCAGGTTGGAGAGGCCAAAGCTCAATGACAGAAGCAGCGCAGCCAAAGCTTGTTATTTGCTCCTACAATGTGGAGTGTATCATTTCAAGCGGCCACATTGAAATGGTCAATATGTGAGGTAATTGATAAGGAATGGAATCTGATGTAGTCATCAACCAAACCCATTGTATGTTCTTCAGCTGTCTGTTCAATTGTCCTTCAGTGACTGTGTCGTGTGTTTTGTCCCAGTTTGTGATATCTGTTTCGTCTCTTATGTCTGTCCTTGTTTTCTTTGCTCTCAAGCCATCTCACAAATGAGATCCCAGAGTAAGTACCAAAAATCCAGATTCTAAGGACATTTATAAATGTTTCCCACTTCCTGTTCCTGCAATATTTACGTGATATCATTTTTAAGTTTACAATAAGGAGACGTGGGATTGAAAGTGGTGGGTTATAAAATCTAAACATCAGAGAGTGAGAGGCACGCAAAGAAGTCTTGCATGTGGTGATATCAAATGGAATTCCTAAACTAAGGAATCGAGAGGTTAAGCGTTGCAGGAATTCTCTCCAATCTGATCTGCGTTTGGAGAAGAGTTCCTGCGAGTTGGCCTGAAGTACCCGATGTGTTACTGTTTACCAGAAAGCATTCCCACTCGGATTCCTTTATTAAAGAATCCCATTTGAAATTGCCGTCCTTCGGGCCCCGATCAAGTTATGAGCTGAAGCAGCACCGAGTTAGATTGTTCATTGTAGCTGCACCTTTCACGACTAGCCGGTTTCCATTGCCTTGTTTTTCGTACATTTATTCCGATCTGCAAACTTGCTCGAGGTTGAGCAGCAAAATCCACCGCAGCATGTCGCAGCACAGCGCCGCCCAAACCCGGGATCATTGGTGAAACGTGGAGCAGTGATGTCGTTCTGAACATCTGCTGTATCTCTCATCCATCGAAATCTGAGTGAGGTGATTGGCTACAAGTTGCTAATTCGCCAGCAATGGCTTATTTTGTGCGCTTCACAAGCAACTTGTTGGGGAATAGAAATTAGAAATACAAAGAAATGTAACCCTCTTGCCCCCGGGGAGGAGGAGGGCGGTGTGGAAGAGACGGGAACCAATTCATTTGAGACGATTTGTCTTTTTGAAATTAAACTGGTTATTCCACCAGAGCAGCCCACATTTTTCCATCTGGGCGTAACAGCAACCTCCTTTCACAACTTTGGTTGAGGATTGTTTTTAAAAATTCTGTTAAAAAGTTTTTAAGAAGTGCCAAACTAGCTGAAGGTTTTTAAAAAATGCTGCCGTTCCCCCCTCCCCCCCCGACCTCCGGAAATACCCACAAACACAGCGACCCGACAATTAAAAACCGTCTAGATTGTGTGAAAGGCTTTCTGTCATCGGGCACGAAGGTTTGGTATGTGGGTGGACGTATTCTTAACAATTCACTTGTCTTTTTCACGCCTCTCATCTTAATGACTAAAGACTCCTTAATGGATTTCCAACAACCTTGACAAAACAGTTTGTTGTTGTCAAACTGTGTTCCTGTCACAAGTGCACGCCCTGATGCTGTAAACGTGTCTGTAGTTAACTGAGTCTTTTACATCACAAGTGGAAGGTCCCTAACTGCTGAGCCATCAAGGGAAAGAATGAACATTCAATCTCTCCTTACATTCTTTCAGAAATTTCTTGTGCTTTCTCTCCAGATTTGATTAATCTTCACGTATCAATAATGTAAATTGAAGGCCAGTTATTTCCCACATCAGTCTTGAGAGACCTCATAGAGAGGTGTATAACATTTTAAATGGGAGGACGTACGTTTAAAGTTGTAAAGGGCAATTTCAGGATAAATACCAGGATGTGTTTCTTTACTTAGAGAGTAATCAATCAGTGGACCAGGTTGTCAGGAAAGGTGACGGAGACCAGGGCACTGGACTCATTTAAAAAGCAGTGATGTGTGGGGTGGTAGGGTGGGTGTTCTGGAGGAATGAGATCGGATGGGCTCAAGGGACTTATTTATCCAGACCGATCTTGTGAAAAATGTACTGATGCTGTAGAGGTATGAAGCCCTTAATAAGACAGGAAAAGTAAACCTGGAAAAATACGATCACATCATGATCCAAAGCAACAGGGAAAGAGGGTACAGGTCCAAGGTTGGGAAGGGCAATTTTCGACCAGATGGCAGGAAGTACTGTTTTGCACAGAAGTTAATCAACAGGTTATCATGAAGTGTGACAGAAGCCAAGACACAGCTAGATGATTTAATGAGAAGACGGAAGGGTGGATATATCTGTGAGGGCCGCCTTCATTTGAATTCCTCGTGTGATCTTGTTAATGCAATTAATACTGTATTACATTTGAAGTTGATTATGTTAAAGTCTGTTCTACTGTTTCCATTCTTAGTGCTTTCAGTTCAATATTTAAAGATTTGTGTTCATCAGATTCTGCAGAAAAATCAAGTGCTTTTTATAGTGCGCTTAAGCTTTCCCTTAATAATTTAGTAATTGCAAAGTCTTTGCTCCTGCTCACTGCATGCATAAATTTTCTTTCTGCTCCCTAAGTCCTGAATTCATGGACTATCCCTCGGAGCAAAGGTGAGTGCCATCATGCTTTGTATCAGTGCTTATGTCTGTAGTTGTCCTGTTGTCAGGTGGCTTTCCTCATAATTTCTTGGTCTAATTTCAAAAGAAAGTGAGAGCGACCCTAAACTCCTGTACAATGTTCATTCAAGATTAAATAGAGCACCTCAAACCTGAAGGCTGTTGCCCAATGGTACATCTGTGTTCAGCCTGTAGTTGATCAATAGGATAGAGGAATTTCTGTCTTCTATAATGTCACCACGTATAAATCTCTATATAATTGATTTACATCAAATTTTATTTTCAGCAATGCTTCATGACTGAAATTCCCGCATTCTGTTTGAAACGGATCATGGATTGGAAGTTACAACGTAATGCTCACACTATGCTCTCACGGATGAATATACACTGTGAATTCCCCAATGCAACAGCCTGCTTTGTCATCTGAATCTTAAAGGCAATCAAAATCTCTTAATTAATCGATTGAATTGGAATTATATTTTCTGTCTTGTCATCCATCAGTGACCCTAATATATTACAATCAGAACGCAACTGGAATTGGAGCCGTATAAACACATTGTCGAGCTGTATTGTGTCTGCTTTCCCTGGCGTATTCATGACCCTGCAATATATTGTGCTGTTGTGTTGGGAAGTACACTTCATATATCCATGTGCGACAGTACAGTGATAGCATTAGGCTGAGACTATCAAACCATTGATCTGTTTCAATCAGATTATAAGAATCCCTCTGCAAAGACCCACTAGTTTTATTTTAATTTGAGCCTGTGTTATCCAAATATGCATCAGATTATTATTTCCACTGGAAAGGTAAGAATTTTTTAGGGTTGTCATATTGTAAAGTAGTTCTGTTTGCTCTCAGTTCCTTTAAATGAAGGGCCCCATCTGTTGTGCGTTGGTGTGTGGTTGTATGGTGTCCATTCTTTCAATGCTCCATGTCTGCCACAGTTCAAGTTGTGATCTCATGATTAACCAGTTTGGTCTACTAACCCTCTTATGTTCACTGTGCCTAAAGGGAAAACACAACCATTCGTAATACCTGATTGAAAGAAAAAAATGATAGCAGTCATTGGCATTAATATATAGTGATAATCACATTGTGACCGAGGTGTCAGTGGACCTTAAAGGTGATGCCATTGTAGTTGGTATTTAGTACTATCGCATTCCAACTCTTCAATAAAGTTTTCAAATTCCTTGCCTATTTTTAATACATTTTCTTGCTCCTCTGTTCAGCGAAAAAGCCCTGCAAGTTAATTACTTTGAACTGAGCATCAAAACAGAAGTAACCCATGGGCTGATCCTGTGGAGCGGGAAGAGTGCTGAGAAATCTGATTACATTGCATTGGCTGTCGTTGATGGGTACGTGCAGATGGCCTATGATCTCGGATCTAAGCCTGTCATACTCCGGTCCACTGTTCCAGTCAACACAAATCAATGGATTAGGATTAAAGCTAACAGGTAAATATAATCTTCATTTATGTGGTCTTTATTATTAATTGTTGTCATAATTAAAATGAGTGTCTTGGAGTGTCAGGGAGCTTGGTAGTCAGTAAGATACATGGAATCGGAGTATTTTGGTTTTGCAAATTTCCTTTACTTTTTCCCTCCTCTCCTAAAGGCACTGACTCTTACTAAGGTTCAGTTCCACAAGTGCTGCTCACCTCACATACCTTGACAAAGTAGACATTAAGGTGGAGGCACAATTACACAAAACACTATACTGTCTCGCCACACAATTCAGCAGCAGGAAGCTTTTCTAATCCCGCAACTTGGTTGACCTCATTCACGGTTGAGGTACAAATCTACGACCTTCTGGCCTGTGTAGCTGAATACGACATCAGGGGCTGCTTTTACCCACTGTGCTATCAGAGGAGCTCGCCAGTTGAATGCGTTACGACATCCACGTTAGATTTGCCAGACTTGCATTTTGTAGACTTCTGCTAATGAGCGCTAAGCAACCTCAGCAGCCCAGAGCGTGACTTATCATTAATTATTTCAGTTCATAAATATGAATTTGATGCCTTTTTTTTCCCGCCCACCCACAGGATACACAGACACGGGACTCTCCAGGTTGGGAATGAAGCCCCCGTGACAGGCTCTTCCCCTCTGGGGGCTACACAGCTCGACACAGACGGAGCGCTCTGGTTGGGTAAGAATCTATCTGTTGCTTTGAATTCAGCATAAACATTTGAGAAAGGCGGGAACGGATGCATAGTGAGATTTTTAACCTGACGACAATAACCACCTCGTAATTCTTCAATGAAGAATGTAGCTCGTCGATTGGCGTCTGATTGAAGGCAACACTAGTGATGTTGAACTCTTGTTTTATCATCTTGCAACGTGTCAAGGCAAATATTAATGTGTCTTGCAGTTTCTCCTTTTATAGCAGGTTCATGTGTATTCTTTATATCAATATCTATACCAGCAACACAGATTTCCTCTTTTGATTGACATCAAAAGCATTTTAACATGAGTTGAACAAGTGGCAATTTTAAAGTGCAGTTGACATTTCCGCTGTTGCAAATCTCGTTGTGCTGAGCAAACCATTTTCTTACGATTCCCAAAGTAAATGTATTTTTTAACATGCAATCTTGATCTAAGCAATAACCCATCTTTGACACACAGCTTACGGGCTCCATTTGTCAAGATTCAATTGTATTGATTGGTTTCATTAGTACAGTACTAAGAGTTATCTGACTTGTGATGCAATATTCCCATTAATTCAGCAAAAGCTGCCTTGTGCTAATGTGCTTGGATTAACAATTCATACTTATGCTGAGCTTTTAGTTTTATGTAGTGTGCAGTACACCGATGCTAGAAATGATTGCTTTCTTTTCTCAGGTGGAATTGAGAAGTTGGCAATTGGAAACAGATTGCCTAAAGCCTACAGTACTGGTTTCATAGGTTGCATAAAGGATGTCATCTTGGACCGTCAGGAACTCCAGCTAGTAGAAGACGCCTTGAACAACCCCACAATATTACACTGTCCAGCCAAATAATGAACAGGCCTTGCCTATTGCTGTAATTATTTTCTATTTTTGTATACTTTTATTGCTTTTTATATTGAAAAGGTTTTGTTGCAGTATATCAAGCTGATCTCACAAGTCAATCGAACGATCAAAATGCCCTAGGCTACAATAACACTACACAGTTAATTCACTCATACTTGAACCTGTGAAACTTGGTGCTGGTGTTATCTTATGCCTTCTTTTGATTATTTGATTTATAATCTAAGAACTAGTGGTTAGTCTCTCCTTTATGTATTGGCAACTGGAAGAGGCAGATGTTGTAGCTAAAGTATATGTTACCTAAAGACCGAACAAAACTAATGTATTGACTCAGATTTGACCCCTTTCCATTGAATTATGACACACTTTAATGTTACAGTCTGTTTGTTCCTGCGTTTTTAATAATTTATGTGTAAAAGTACAGTTTACATTTGATTGTTGTATTTTTCTTTCAAGGGTTAGATGTATGGCAAGACAGAACTAGCCAAAGGCAACAACTGGTTCCGTTTTGAAAGAGTAGTAACCCCAAGGCCGAAGATGTGAATTGTTCAAGAAAAAGACGTATACCTAGATTAAAAGAGATGGCTGACTCTCTTTTTGAAACAGGTCCGCTTAGAATGCCCTTGAAACTTTCTGAAATCTAAACTACACAAATAACATTTTCAACTCCTCTGATTTTCTCTTGTAGTTCTACATCAATTTATTTTCAAGTGATTTAACTTTATTTTACACACTGTCCAAATACGTTAAACACAGCTGCTTTATAATTGTCACATACTGTACTAACATTTATTTGAAGAACTCTGGGGAGACCGAGATTAGCAGCAACAGACAAGTGTGTAGGTTTGATCCGTATTCAGTTTGGGAAAAAAAAGTAAGTCTGTTTACATCAGAGATGCTGCTTGTTTAATCAGTCCAAACAAATTAGTCATTTATTAAACATTGTAAGAACAATTTGTTCTTGCTTCTTACTCGTTGTGCAAAATGGAGAAAAAGCTTTCTCAAAACAGGCACCATATTCCTTCAGCTGATGTTTAAGAAATAATTATTGGTTCTGTGCTGAAGTCTAGCAGACTGAAGTAAAACATTTGTCTCATTTCAGTAAATGATGCATGAAATTAAACATGGAACCAAACTGTTAGAAATTATTGAATTTGTTATTCCTTGAAATCGTATCAAAAAAGACAATTTGTGTAAATGCTACACTATCCCACGTACAGGAGTAATCCCACTGTGTTGCCCACTGTGTATATTGTATGTAGTAAAGTACCAATATGTAACTGATCTGTCCCTTGACACTTGTGAGAATGCATGTGGCCAGCTGGTGGTCCTTTCGTTTTAATCATCTTAGGTTGGGTGGAAAATGCCTAATTTTTAAGGTGGATAAAAGCTGAAGTCTTATTGGAGATGACATTTAAAGGAAAGCAGAGCATCGTACCATGTATGGCATGTAACTGAGCCAGCCCCATAATGTCATTGTCTTCTTAGCTCCTGCTTGCTGTAATGTACTCCATCCAGCCAACGTTCTTAGCCGATGGAAAGCGCATGGCACAGACTGTGAGTTTTATTGCTTAAAACTGTGTCCATTGGGTGACTTAAAAGTTGCGGTGGGCTGTTGGACAAATGTAAAACATTGGCTGAAAATGAGCTTTGCTGTCATGAGCTATGTTTTTCGAAATATTCCAAGGATTTTACAGATGGCATGAGTGGCCATAAATACATAAATATATCTTGACTGCTGTAAAATTTGGTCTCTGCAACATGCATTGATTCAGATTGTTTTTCATCATTGGCATTACTCAGTGACCTCAGCGTTATTGTTTCTGCCCCCCCCCCCCCCATCCTATACATGATCATTTTTAAACTTTTGCATAGAAGGTATTTTTTAAAAGATCAGCCTTAACAAATAGTATATTCAAAAAAATCTTTATACTGTGTTCTATAACATTGCAAAGCATAACATTGTGTAAGTCTGTGAGGAAGAAGATTGTCCAAAATAATGCAATTAAGAGGAAAAGGACTGCATTGCTAGAATGAAATGTGTCTGTCTACCTGAATTATAGAACCCACAAACAAAAGTAACAGCTGTAGAGGTGAGGATGAAATGCTGCCCTAAAATTTAGAACATTAATCATAAGGCCTGATATTTTGTCTCTGCTTCTGCTACTACTGTACTTTGTTTTATTGTACCCCCCGGAACAATTACTCCGTGAGAGGAAATGAGAATCGATGTAAAGGCAATGGATCTGTGCTCGTCATCTCACTGTCTGTGGGCAGTAATTAAGAACGGTTGCATTTATCACGGTTCAAGTTAGCATTGCTGTTCGTGTTGTTCTCGTTCACATTCATTTAAAGTGAGGGATTTTAATAAACATTTTATTCTAGGTTTTAAGTAGTCTTGACCTATTGCAATGACTGTTTGAGGACTGCAGTCTGTTGCCTTTCCAATATTACTCATCGCCGTTGCTCGTTACAAGTGGGAAAACTGGTCATGTTAACGGGATTGGGGGGGGGGGTGGGGGCACTAAAACAAGCCTCGTCTGTTTCAGCATTGGGGAAATCGATGAAATAAAACGCAAGCAGAAACATTCCAAATGCTTTGTGAGAAAAGGGGGCTTCAGAAATGCCTTAAATGCCAAGTTCACTGATATTACGGTGAACCTTACCACGCACACATTGCGTTGTGCAGTTATTTTATTTGACATTTCCCTGCTGTTTTAACTCTAGTGTAAAAATATTCGAGCCTTTTTTTTAAAAAAATTGCTGGTTTTATTTATGTTTCCATATGGTGTATTTTCAGGTACATGACCATTGTAAACTGCTGTAATTAATCTGTCATGACAACGCAGAGTATATGATCAGCATGATGTAACCATTACTAACTTTATTACTCGTGTCTTTTGTCCAATCATCATGAAATAAAGTGAAAGTTCCAAGTACGTTTGACTTATTGATTGGTGCATTAGTTGGTATGTGGAAAGTGCTGTTTTTAATGTGGCTTCCAGCACAATTCTACAACAAAAACTGGTAATATTCAATTGTTCTACAGTATTTACTGTATGCAAACTTTGCTGCAACTTTTGTTTGTTAAAGAAAACAGAACCCATGTTTTTGTTTCAAAACACTCCAATTTAAGTGACGTGGCAAGTGTCATGTGGCATGTGAACAATTTCAAGAGTATTGCACAGTATAAAGTTTACACAACACGGTTCACCGCTAGTAAAGCAGCAAAGATGGGAGCTTGAAGCACAGCTGGGGTGGGTGGTGCGGGGCGAATCGAGCAGAACACAAAGATTGTGCACTATCTGAGTGAGAACACAGGGAGGTTGGAGTCAAAGCCTGAGAGGAGAAGCCACTGAAACAAGATAGCTATAGATTTAGCCCTTTTCCCCCATCCCCCTCCACTGAATTAGCAGATCATATATCATTATTTTATCAGCATCAACATCCTGCACCACCGCAACAAATTACATTTTATTTAGATTGCTTTTTCTCGTCGGTAATTTTCAATTACATTTATATTGCACCTTTCGTGCCGAGAGGCCATCTTAAAGTGCTTCACACTTTGATATCATTCGGAGAGTCAGGGAGGGAGCTTGGGGGGGTTGGGGGTGGAATGATGTTAAAGCGTGGTCAAAGAAGTCATAAGGCAGGCTTTGAAAGTGGGAAGAAAAGGGTTAGTTGGAAGCATGCTGAAGTGTGGGGACATTACTCCTTTCCCCCACTGAATTTAGCAAATCTTACTATATTTTATTTCACTGGAATGATTTCCATCGATGAAGAAACTACCTTGCTTCACTTTTGCGGGGGTGGACCTGGGGGTCATTTGTGGTGCAAGCGGCTCTGCTATTGGTGAAAACTTTATTTTGGAGCTGCAGTGAGAATTGTAAATGCATTGGGTTAAACGCTTTCTGCATTTGCCATTCATTTTTGGAGACGTCATTTCAGCTGCAAAAGGAAATGAAGATCTCTATCCCCTTGATGGTGGTTAAGGCAGTCTCAGACCACAGCAGACTTGAGCACGCAACCACAAACTAGCCCATATTCAGCTCGTTACTAAATTAAATTTATTTAACTCAAACATAGCATTGCAATGTAGAATGCAGTGGTCGTTGATAAAGATTTTCGTCAGATACCAGGTGTCGATATTTTAATTAACACTGCAGTGATAATTATTACATCATTCAAAATGACACTGCTGATTTCTTAATTTGTTGACTGGATTGTATAGGTGATACACCACTAAAACCTAACCCTCGATGGCTGGCCAGTGTCATTTACCACAACATACGAATTTTCACTTCAGCAGCTTTTTCATCTTTCAGTCTTCATAAGACGTGTCAGTCCTTCGGTCACAAACTCGGATAAAACGTATACAGACGTAGTTGAGCTTCCATGTGTCACAATGCATTAATGCTCCAATGTAAGTTACAGACATCAAATCGACATGATCTTGAACGTTTAAAATGTATTCAATCTTATTAACCCTAAGAAGATGAGACATTTCAGGCTGTTGACCTTTTGTAATAAGTCAAGGAATTCATTTGAATTCTTAGCTCTAACATTTTAATTTTCTAAATATAACAATACGTTATATTATGTGTTATATTTTGCTCCACAACTAAGGACCCCCTACTTCAATTTGGCCCCAAGCTGCTGATTATAAAATATACTTACAATGGCAGTTTGTCACTGGTATAGAAATTTAGTCCAGCGGTGAGGCACATTATTAAAGTATATAGTTGTCATAGAGTATTAACTGTAGCCTGGTGGCATTAATAGATAAGTGTCAGATGCTGTTTAATGGAATGAAGTGGTACAATTTGAGGGAAAAAAAGACAATTTTGTCCCTTATATCCTAAATGATGATGTTCTTAATAATGAGGACCAGAAATATCTAGGGGCATAAATATATAATTATAAAAAATAGAAATGCATGTGGAAAAATTCATAAACATGGCAGATTTAATTGTGTTTTACATATACAGGAATTGGATATAAAATTCCTCCAATAATCCTGACTGGAGAATAGGAGTCAATACCAATACTTTGCAAAATATATACACATATTTAAAAATAGATTACAACAACAACAACAACAAGATTCCATTTATAAAGCGCCTTTCACGTCAGGAGGACGTCCCAAGGCACTGCAGAGTTGGGTCATGACCCGAGCAGGGGGGAAATGGTCAGGGTGAGGGGAGGGAAGGGAGGGAGTGAGGAGGGGGGAAATTACTATTGAACTGCAAGTTTCTTACAGCATATCAGACTGTCTAACTCAGGCTCCAATTGGGTTTATTAAAGACAGAGAATTATATAATGAGCAGCCAAGGATTACAGAATCACCTGCAATCAATTTCATTGATTGTTCACATAAACGGGAAAGACTGATTTCCTCTGTACACATGGTTAGTGTAACCCAACTGGATCCCTAATCAGGACACGTGTCCGAAATATAAATTCCTAAAGTGCAGTTTTGCTATTCGATATTCCTCCTAACGAGAAATATTTATAAATCTAAAAAAATTAAAAATCCCAAATTCTTGGAACAAAATGAAGCAAGGATGTACCTTTAAGACGATTTAACAAAGCCTGATTGTAGTGTAAGCATGTAATGGAAGACCAAGTGCTGAACAGCAGCAGTCAATGGTCAGAAGGGCTCTTTGTGTTGGAGTGAAATGTCACAAGAAGCCTAATTACCACATAGCGCAGAGACAAATTGATTTTTGCAATGAGACAAAGATGCCCGAGTCACATTTTTCTCCAGACACTCAGCCGTTTGTAAGTTAACTGAACCCTTGTTTTCCCCAGAACAGAAGCACAGTGTACAATAAGTTAATTGCCACTTGGCTATAAATACCATCGTTTCTTTATTTTTTAGCAAAGCTCCTAGAACATTTTATGGCATCTGTACGCGAGAGTGCATGATTTAAATCAAAATCTATAATCAGAATGAACATGTTAACAAGGATCCTCGATTTCTGAAATTGCTTCCAGAAATCCAGGACTAATGGCCTATGCTCCAGGACATTATTAAAGGAAACTAAAGCCGTGTTAGTGGAAGCAAGGGAAAGGGTCATAATCCATAGTGGAGAGACTTTAATCATCGTGTGGCTTTAGGAGATTTACATTTGGTCGAGTCTCTCTCTGAACACTATCGTGGTATGTTCAAGAATACTGTCTGTAGATTGTAAGAAAAGATTTGCAAATTTAAGTAAACTGCACAATGCAGCAATATTCAATCTCAGAGAATATAGCCAGGCCTGTCCCAGTGCGACTAAACATTTTAATTTTAACAGATAATTTCATTCATTTTTACTGGATTTGACACATTTTACATGGTCTACATAAAGAGAAATATTTATATAAACTAAAAGGCCACATTTACACATGATTGCACATATGCAGAAATGTAGACAGATAAACATAGTACTTTTTTTTATTCGGTCATTTTAGGTTCCAACTGACTTCTGATTTATGACCATATTAAAGGTCACCCCCACTACTTTAAAGTGACATGTTTTTTTTCTCCTCATTCTCCTTTTCTACATTCACTGCTCATCCAATTCTCCCCAAATTTCAAGTAATTGATTACTCGTACTTCCAAGGATGTTTGTGGTGAAATTTAATGCCACACTTGCCTAGAACAACATTTCCTTCATTTCTAATAAAGCGCCTTTTAAAACACTTTTGAGAATGTTGCTTTTATGCGAAAGGTAAATTGTTGTATGAATATATGGAACATTAAGGCTGCACCAAATTTTTGATTTATTGAAATTCAGTATATATTCAGTATGTATAAGCCTCAATTGATCATGCAGGTGGTCAAATAGAGGAAATAAAAGTTACCTCTGGCTTGATACAATTTGCATTTAGATAGCGTCTTTCAACATAAGATAACACAGCAGAATGCTTCGCAGAGATGCTGTCAGTTGTTGCGCAAGTTAGGAAGAGTGGGACAGCGAGGTCATCATAGATCATTCAGGTAGGCTTCATCATAGGGTCATTCAGATGAGATTTAAAATAGACGATATTTTTTTTTCCTCGGTGGTAAACCATTGCAAGTCATATTGTAAGTTATTTCAGTAGTTGATAAAATGATGCACGTTATTACCAGGAGTACAAAATGCAATATAGATGTAATATATTATCCTGTGACATTCAGCAGTGTTGGGAATCTGGAAATTATTATCTTTAGTGTGATTACTGTTACAACTGCCTTAACTTCAAATTAACAAGTCGCACACTTTCCTACAACATAATTGTAATGCTGAATATATTATGCACCTTCAGCAAGTTGCATGCAGTTGCTTTAATAATTTACTGTGCATACTGTGATTGGCTATCCTGATATAATTGATCTATATTTTAGTTTTAGTATCTAATTGCGCCTTGTTTGCTTACACATTAAGGTTCAGCCTGGCACCAGTTCAAGAGCCACTCAATATTTAAATTTGGAAATCCATTTAACTCCAGTTTGAGCTGCAGCATTTCTTAAAAGGTTAATTTTTTAAAATGTAATTGTTTAGAGGCCAATTACTGGTAATCAAGAATTGAAAGATATTCTGTAAGTGCATCTGAGGTGGTCAATTTCAGCAATTTTTTCTACACTTATGCATCAATGTCTCCTTGCTATTATAACCTTTCCCCTTAAAAATAAGCATGAGGTTTTGTATGTGATTATTTACAGGCAGATATGAAGAGTTTATGTTTCTCCCCACTCATGGGATGGGGTGTGTAATTTGAGTAACTCCGAATCAGACTCCTTAGACCTCAATCGCTCCAATTTACAAATCGAAAGTATAACTGGTTGGATGTGCATGAGTAACTAATTACTCCTATCTAATTTTCCATCCCTGTGGGGAAGTGCTTAGTCTGTTTGGCAGCTCACTCAATGACTTGGCTGGGATAGAAGATATTTGTGATTTTCATCTATCAGATGAAGCTTTAGGTCAATAATGCCATTTTTTAAATCTTAAGTGTTAACTCCCTGCAGTATTTAAATACGTCAAAATGCCCAATAGATTCAACCCCATTATGTTATTGGTAAGAGTTCAGGCTATTGTAAGCTGCAAACCATAATCGTGCACTTCCTCAAGCTATCTGGCCAGATGTGAATGTCCTTTTACACCTTCAGAAATATATTAACAGACAATGGTCTTAAAATCGCTCATCAGACATTGGTTTATTTTCCTGGGGAGTATCTATGTCTGTTGGTGCATCTTCAAATTCTGATGTGTCACTTTGAAACCTTGAAAGGTTTTCTTGCTCCACATATCAGACTATTATCGTCATCGTTCGAAATCCTTCTGAAAATGAATCAGGAGAATCCTCTAGAGAGCCGGGTTCATCGTCAACAAAATTTAACAGCTTTTTGATCTGATTATTTGCGATGAAAAATGTAATGTTCCATGTGCTATGGAATGCATTGTTGAATCTATTATGAAAAAGCAGAAACTTCATTCCTAAAGACTGGCTATTGCCCCCTCCCTCCAACTTCAGCCTAACGGTTGCACCTGAAATCAATTCCAAGATATTTACCACCATTGGCAACCCTGATTGTTGTGGAACTAGTGTTTCAGTGCAACTTCACAGATGCTAATCAAGATCAGTAAAATCTGGTTAGCTGGATTTTAGATAAATCTGCTATTTTGCTAAATTTAAGATAGGTGTTTTTTTTAAACAATAATTTACATGGATCAGGAATCCAACTTCTGGATACTGCAGTTGACATTTAAGAGGATTGTTGAAAATATTTATATTTGATGATTTGATTCACTGTGAAGGAAATTACCGTGTGAAAGAATCAAATAGTACTGCGACAGCTGGGCAGTCACTCTCTGCAATTACTAAATGGTTACTATACATTTATGTCTCGAATTAGGCCAATTCTGCTCAGAGTTGCTCGGAGGTCAAAAATTGAGAACAAAGCAGTATTTAAGGGCTCTTTAGAGTCCATGGCAGTTTCTCTCGCCAGACACATTGGAGACCACATAAATGCAGCTATTTGGAAGATTGAGGATTAATAGCAGGCAAACTCTTTTGCAATTATCTGATTATGCATGGGTGTGGTGGGAAAATCCAGGAAACATTGAACTCTACTTGGTCAACACGAGAAGTATTCCCTTTAAGATTTCGATTTTGCTGGAACCAGTTCAATTGGATCATTAGATCATTGATGTAATCTCAAGATAATTAAATCATGTAAGACTGTGGCATTTTTAAAGGGCATTTTCCTCCTACACTGGCAACAGGCTCTCAGTTACTGAAATACCCAAAGGCAGCTTTCTTTGAAAAGCTTGCCATTGTTATTGGTGTTTATTTTGGTAACTGTCTCCAAACAGACACAAGAGTACAAATAGAATAAAGCACGTAAATACTGTATAAATTATGCTGTGGAGATTTCTTATAGTAAGAAATAGTAATAGTTAGTACGGCCAATCTTTAGAAACGCCTGGGAAAAGATGGCTTTTCATAACCGATTCAACGCGATACCCCATTGAATCTGTCAATGGAAAGCTGCACAGCTCATCCCCAAGTTTCAAGCTTGTAAATGTTTGTGCGGAGGCACAGAGGAAATATTTACGAACAGTACGTCACGTACGCTGTTCTGGGGTTTTATTGTTGCTGACGGTGGATGGAAGAAAATTCAGCGATGGAGTGTGGGCGGGCAACGGTTATTGGGGCATAAGCTTTGGCGGGGCAGGGATTTTATATGGAATCGGTTGTTTGGTTACGGAACAATTATGTTTTTGTACAGCCGGTGTAATACTCCAGAACGCTTCGGGAGCAGTGACTCCCAGGGCGTTGTCATGGTTGCAGCTCGGCTTGCTGGTGCTTTAATAATAATCCCTCCAAAACCCAAAACAATCATAAATTGGTCATCTTCAATCCATGACTGTTTGTGGGACACTGCTGTGCGCAATTGGCTGCCGCGTTCGCCCACAAATATACAGTCAATTCACTTTACAGTGTGTTGTGTGAAGCGCTTTGGGACGTCCTCCCGACGTGAAAAGCGCTATATCAAATGCAAGGATTATTATTATTATTTAGAGGGAGCGCACAGCTGTTTGATTTATTTCTAAACCCCCCCCCAGCTTTGCTGGTGAGAAAGTAATTCTTCGGTCCGTCTTTTTCGCACAGGTGGACAGAAATTCCCGCGTTTTATCGTTTTCTTACCCGCGGCAATAGGCGTCGTAATGCGCCTCATACTTCAGGGCCACAAACAGACACAGAAGTGGCTGGGAACGCGCAGCAGGTCAGTTCAGGTCAGGTCAGGTCCAGCGACTGTTGGGAGAGAGGAAAGTGGGTGGACGTTGCAGGTCGACGACCTTTACTGACCGAACGGAAAGGAATGAATACTCTCGGGCCACGTATCTCGGGCAAAGCCTCGCTCTTTGGGTAATTAAACGTATGCCCTCCAGTTACGGTTCACTGGTCAGTGAATCCATAACTAGAGGGTAATACCAGTGAACCCCCATCCCACCCCCCCAAACCCCACCCCCCAAACCCCCCACCCCCCCCCCCAACCCCACCAGCGCCGCATTGGAGCATCAGCTTAGACGGCGTGATCCCAAGTCACGACGTGGGGGGCTTGAACCCAGACAACCCCGGAGCGCGAGTGGCCGAGGCAGAAAAGGACCGGGCGACTGCCCCGCCCCGCCCCGCCCTAGCCCCCCCCTCCCGCCGAACGCGAGCCGACCAACTGACAGACCCCCCGCCCCGCCACCCACCCTCGAGCCCGAGGCGGGCGACTGACAACCCGCCGGACTCAAAGGTGAGGAGGTTCTGCCCACCTGAGCCGGGACCCCAGCGGAGGCATTGTGGAGTCCTGAGCTCAGTGGTTAGAGCACTCGCTTTGCAAGTGAGAGACCTGAGTTCAATTCCAGGCAGAGGGCGAAACCTTGGGCAAGTTTCCTTACTCCACACAGAGCCTAATAATAATCCCTCCAAAACCAAACACAATAATAAATTGGTCACTTTCAATCCACGACTGTTTGTGGGACATTGTTGTGCGCAATTGGCTGCCGCGTTCGCCCACAAATTTTCAGTCAATTCACTTTTCAGTGTGTTCTGTGAAGCGCTTTGGGACGTCCTCCCGACGTGAAAAGCGCTATATCAAATGCAAGGATTATTATTATTATTATTATTGACCTGAGGGTGTACCTGAGGGTGGGTGGGTGGGTGGGGTCGGTGGGGTGGGGGGTGCGGGCGGGCGGGCGGGCAAGAGGGGGTAAGGGAGCGAATCCCCGGTCACACCCATCGCCCGGCGGAGACTTAGTCGGTCGGTCGGGTCCGTCGAGTCGAAGAAATGGAGGAGGGGGGAGTGTCAGTCAATCAATCAATCAATCAATCAATCAATCGATCGATCAATCAATCGATCAATCGATGGGCTGTGTGGGGCTGTCGGTCGCCGCCCTCGCGCTCAGGAGTGGGCGGGACGTTGCTGTCAGCGGGCGCTCGAGGGCCGCCGGCGGGCGTCGGTCCGGCCTCGCGCAACTCTCGGGGCGCGGGCAACGGGGGTGAGGGGCGGGAGCGGAGGGCGGGGAAGGGGCGGGTTGGTCGGTCCTTTTCGATCACCGGCTCGCGCTCGGGGGGGGCTGTCGGTCGCTCTCCTCCTCGCGCTGAGGGGCTGTCAGTTGCTCTCCCGCTCGCGCTGAGGGGCTGTCGGTCGCTCTCCCGCTCTCGCGCTGAGGGGCTGTCAGTTGCTCTCCCGCTCGCGCTGAGGGGCTGTCAGTTGCTCTCGCGCTGAGGGGCTGTCGGTCGCTCGCGCTCTCGCGCTGAAGGGCTGTCAGTTGCTCTCCCGCTCTCGCGCTGAGGGGCTGTCGGTCGCTCGCGCTCTCGCGCGGTCAGTCCAAGTCCAAGTCCAAGTCCAGTCAGTCAGCAGCCGAGCTCTCCCCCGGCCTTCACCCTCCGCCTCCCCCTCAACACCACCGCCGGCGTCCGTCCCTCCCTCCCCGTCGCCGGACTCCTTCAAACCGCAATGACATCCCGGAGGTAAGAGGCTGAACTCTTTTTTTTATTCTTTTCTTTACACACACACACCCCCTCACACACACCCCCCCACCCCCTCACACACACTCACACACCCTCACACACACCCTCACCCCCTCACACACACTCACACCCACACCCCCTCACACACACTCACACCCTCCCCACACACACACACCCTCACACACACACAACTCACACACACACACACCCCCACACCCCCTCTCACACACACACACCCTCACACACACCCCCCCACCCCCTCACACACACACACACCCCCAACCCTCACACACACACACCCCCACACCCCCCCCACACACACTCTACCCCCACACCCCTCACACACACACACAACCCACACACTACCCCCCACCCCCTCACACACACACCCCACCCCCCACCCCCACCCCCCCCCCCCCACACACACACACACACACTGCGTCCTTCAGGACCTTTGAGATCCTTTCCCTCAAACTCCAACCCGTCCCCACCGCCGCCACCACACAAAAAAAGTGAGTCCGGTGGAGCGTTTCCTTCACTTGTTTCCTGGCCTTCAACTCGGCGGCGGCGGCGGAGGAGGGGGGGGGGGGAGGGGGCGGCCGGTGTCCGGGGCGGAGGGGGGGGGGGGGCGGCCGGTGTCCAGGGAGGAGGGGGGGGGGGGCGGCCGGTGTCCGGGCGGCGGGCGGTTGGTTTAATCCGAAGCCGCTGGGAGTCCGGTTTGGTCTCTAACGTCCATCTCAGGCCTCCCCCCCCCCCCCCGGATTACGGAACGAGAGTAGATTAATGGTGTGTGTTTCTCGCCCCCACCCACCCACACACTACATACACAAACACTACCCCCCACACACACACTACCCCCCCCCCACACACACACACACTACTCCCCCCCCCCCACACACACACACACACACACTACCACCCCCCCACCCACTACACCCCCCACCCACACACTACCCCCCCACACACACACTACCCCCCCCCACCCACCCACTTGGTTGTCAAAGACACCCCTGTTGTGTTTTGTGTTGTGAAACTCTCTCCCCCCCAAAAAAAAACAGCTTAATGTGTTCAGTCCGAGTCAGTTCAGTTCGGTCCGTGTCAGGGATTCCTATTCCTAACCTATGCAAAACGTCCGCTTGGCACTTGTCTCCTCGCCAAGTTTTTTCCCTGGGAATACGGCTTTATTTTTTTTTCTTCTTAACACCCACCCCCACCCCCCCAAAAAAAAAATTTCTAAAAAAAAATTATGTATCTGTTTTATATTTATTTATGTATTTTATATATATAAAATATATTTTATTTCAAGTCGTATAAATATATATATACACACATGTATATGTGTGTAAGTGGGGGCGGAGGGTGCAATTAGCCATTTTATACAGTTTTGTTTATATGTATACACACCAGGTGACCAAAAAATTTGTGATACCCTGTATAATAGTTATTTTGTTCCTTCATCGTTGCTTTAAGACTTGTTCGACGGTGTAATGGTATTGTGACTCTTTGTGCCCCCCCCGTACAAGCGAGTAAGTGGGCATAAGCCCGGTATCTTTTTGTAGAGAACAGACGAAAGAAATGTATGGATGATGTGAGGATGCTGGTAGTTGTTTGGAAGGTTAGTACAGTAGTAACGTTCAAACACACTTGTTTTGCTGTGGCTCTGCACTTTCTCGTGGGCTTCTGTGGAAAAATGTCTTCTAAACGATCCGGAGACTGTGTGATTTTTCTGGGGTACGTACAAGGAATTTGTTATCGCTCGAAAGAGAATCCCCCATCAAAATTTACATTAGTGTCTTAACATCTCTCATGGTGGTTGTGTGTAATTAGTTTTTGTCAAGAGAAATTTGGGCAGACTAAATGCCCCACTTCACAGCAATAATTTAGCATCTAAAGACAGTGTACTTAGCCAGTACAACATAATCTTTAATACAGAAAATAAACTTTCCTCACACAATCATTGATGTTTTATTGATCTTGGCCACAACATATTTAAGATGGAATTGCACACCAGATGGTATTGACTTGCTGGAAAATGTAATACTGTATATACAGTAAATCATCTTGGGTTACTGCTGCAATTGTACTTACCGCCTCTAATTGTTTTGAACCTATTCAAATTACATTTTCCATTAAAGTTTAGCACTTGGAATCACATTGTCTAAGTTGACATTCCAATGCAGTACTGGGGTGGTGTTGCATTGCTGGAGATGCTGTCCTTCAGGTGAGACATTAAACCAAGGTCCCATCTGCCAGTTTAGATCTATATTAAATCTCCTATCACTCTATTTGAAAAGAGAGAGTAGTTTCCCCCAGTGTCCTGGCCAACAATCCTCCAAATAAAAAGTTTGTCACTCATTCCATGGCTGTTTGTGCCACATTACTGTGAGCAACTGGCTGCTGTGTCCCACCCACAATATACGCAGTCAATCAGTGCTTTGAGATGGGCTTAACGACATGATAAGGCATTATATCAAATGCAAGGATTATTATTATATGAAAGAGAAGGGGTATGGGAATAAAGTGGAGGGGTGGGATTGAAGCGATATCCTTGCTCTGTGACCTGGTGCAGGCTTAATTGCCAAATGGCCTTCCTCTATGCTAAGATTTCTATGTTTCTAAGTTAATGAGTTCTGTCTTCACTCAATAGTTTTAGCAAAATTAACTGTGGGACTGAAAAGATTGCTCTTGAGGGAGCTGACAAAGACACGATAGGCCAACTAGTCTTCTTCTGTGCTGAAAATCCTATGGTTCTACTATTCAGTTCATTTCTTTAAATGCATGGCATGAAAATTTAAATAATGTTGAAAGGTATTACCCTACCAGAGTGCATTTTTTCATTATGATGAAAATGACAGACAGCTCTGCCAGAGGCCTAAATACACCAAGAATGAGCTTATAAGCCTTTTTTGTCTTAAACTTTACAACCATGCAGAATTGTGGAAAAAAATATTCAGTCTTAATATGGAAGCTGGTTCTTGTTAAGAACTGTGGGAAACTGACTTCCACATTAAGACTGAAATGGTTTACAAGCAAAGAATTTGGTATGCTTTCAAAGGCTGATGGCTCAGTCAATGCACACCTTAAGAATTTGCTTAAAGGAGAGATTTTACTCATTGTTTTAAGTAATAAATATTAAAATTATAAAAAATTAATTTAAGTTGAGGGGTAAAGTAATTAAAACATGAAAAAAACAGATTTTTCTCAAAATATGTAGAGTAGTATAAGAATGTTTGATGTAGCATAACTACCAAGTCCATAATTGCCCATAAGCCTGTATTTTAATATTTTTCTTGATCCATCAGTTTGTCAGACTTCAGTTTTGCCACTGTTCTGGTTGCCAAATAGTATTTATTTTTGATTCGATGTCTAAATATTCTGTTGGAATATATGCTACCATTTCTTTCACTTACTGCTTGACCTCTAACAGCCCATCTATGGCACTGATTTATTTTCGGTGCAGCAACTGTTTTTGTAAGCAAACAAAGGTAAATAGTTGGCCTGGGTACTGGGAAAAATTGCTTTACCATTTTGAAGTGCCAGGGCTTATTAACATCTACCTGAACTGGGAGTCAGGACCTTGGGTAAAGACACACTAAGTCCAAGTTATACATTTATGATCAAAATAACAAGATTACATTTGTATAGCGCCTTTCACGTCGGGAGGATGTCCCAAGGCACTGAATAAATGAAGTGTAATGTTGCAGAATATAGCACACAAAATTATTGTTGCAACACTTGTACCTTCGTAGCTTGGCATAATAAATACAACATTGGAGGTGCTGCCTCAGCAGGTGTAATGATGGTAGAGGAGGAGAAGGAAGGCCAAGAGTACAACAGTAGCTGGAGTCCTTGGCAGAGAGGGCAAAAAGACTGCATTGCCGGTTATCTGAAGGAGCCAGACAATATATGCTGAGATGTGTATGATCATCGGTCATGAAGGAACAATATCTGAGGAGGTTAAAGTACTCAAGGAAGCCATAACAGAACTCTGCTATGATAAGACCTGAATTTAAATCACATGATACAGTAAGAACATACCTATCAATTGAGCTGAGGCTTTTGTCGTGTTGAATTTCTATGTATTTGATTATTTTTGCAGTCCTTTTGAAAATATTGGTAAGGTGAGTTAATTTGCTGTGCCCACAGCATTGCTTAAGTCACTAACACTTTGAATACTAAAGCGCCCCAGTGCTTAAACAGATTTCTTATCGGAAGAGATGTCAGTAAAACATATCAGGATATGTAGCAGATGATTCCCTGGGAAATTCCAGGGTTTGTTCCTGGGTATTTGCAGGACCAGCTATGCAGAGTCCTTTGACTACATGAGTCCTCCAAGACTAACCTGCCAGAAAGGTGCTATAAATGCATGCTGTTGTTGAGTTGAGTTGATGGCAATTCATCTGTTATGAAACAACATGTAGGTATTCATCTCAGTATTCTGGGTCACAAATTTCTTCGGACTGATCATACAGGAAATACATTGCCATGGGATTCTGCCTAGTAAAGGTGATGTATTACCACTTAGAGCACTGGGTGTCAATATGATCAGCGGAAGTAATGTATCATCTACTTCAAAGTTCTTGGCAATTAATGTTAGTGAACCTCAAAGAATGCAGTTTTCTAGTGGGATTAAAGTACAATGTTTCATGTTAATGGATTCAATAATTATCCAAGGTGTTATTGAATTTGTCATGCATTTGCCCATCTATTCCAAAAAAAACTAACAATAAGTATGAGCCTGCAACACATTTGTTGCACGATCAAAGATATTCAGCATTGACATCTTGCATTCTTACACATGGGACCTGACTCTTCTTCTCAGCATTTGAGTGCTCTCATAGGATTGAGTTAAGACAGAATCTTATAAAGCTGCACTAAAATGTAGAGTCACTCAAGGTAAAGTAGGGGAAAATAATCATGCATGATCGACATCAAATGGTCAGAAAAATCCACAGTGATCTAATATAGTAATTATTCTTGAATCATTTTGTGGGTTGTTT